AGAAACAACGGGAATGGTAGCTCCAGGGGCTGAGGGGCAGGGGGAGGGGAGCTGCTGGTCAGAGAGCACAGACTTCCAGTTCTAAGACGAGTAAGCTCTGGGGGGGCTGATGTACGGCATAGTGATCAAACTTAATAAGACTATGCTACATACCTGGAAGTTGCTAAGAGCACAGATATTGTGTTCTCACCACAAAAATGAAATTGTAATTATGTGACATGGTATAGGTGCCAGCTAGAGCTATGGTGGTCATCATTTTACAGTATATGTGTATCAAATCAACACATCATACACCTTAAACGTACACAATGTTGTACTTCAGCTATATCTCAATAAACTGGAAAAAAATAATAAAACATTTGTTTCCCTGGGCACATCCGGTTTGCGACGGGCCAGCGGATCTCAGGGGAGAATGCAGGGAGGCTCCCCAGGAAGGCTCGCAGTAGATGCAGCCCAAGGAACATGACGCATCGCTACAAGTGAGGCTTCCGTGGCTATCTGCCGACCCCCCTGAGTTAGCTCTCTGGGGTGCTGTAATAAATCACCACAAGCCGAGCGGCTTAAAACAACAGATATTTATTCTCTCAGGGTTCTGGATGCCAGAAGTCTGAGTCAAAACGGTGGCCCGGCCGGTTCCTCCTCGGGTCTCAGGGAGAGCCCACTCGGAGCGCCTCTCCCTCGGGGGCAGCGCACAGTCCTTGGCCCTCCCGGGCCTGTCGGTGCAGGACTGCAGCCTCTGCCTCCGTCCTCATGTAGCCTCCCCTCCGTGTCTCTGTGTCTTCTTCTTTTCTGTTTCTTATAAACCCTCTGTCACTGAGTTTGGGTGTACGCCAGATACACCCTAAATCCAGGGTGGCCTCGTCTTGAGAGCTTTGATCGCATCTGTAGAGACCCTACTTCCAAACACGGTTCTGTCCACAGATGTGGGGGCTCAGGGCTTGGGCGTATCTGCTCGGAACCACAATCTCACCCACTGCTCCCACCTCCCAATGCAGCCGCTGCCTCTAGGCCTCCGCATGTGCCCCTCTGGGTCCTCCCCCGAGCTCACCACAGGCAGGAGCTCCAGCTACTGAGTATTTCCCAGTGACAGGCCCTGTGTATGTACAAACACATGAAAATGGCATTTAGTTTTTAAAGTAGTAATTTCTATTAAAGTCACATTTGTACGTAATTTTAGAAAAGCAAACAGTACCGCAAGATTTCTAAGGAACGGTGGTCCTGTGTCCCGTCCTTCCCAGCTCCCACCCTTCTCCCCAGAGGAAACTACCTTCAGTGCATTTAATGTTCTTCCAATATTTACACCCAAAATTATAAATAAATTCCTTATGCTGCTCTTCCTTGAAATTTCTATTTCACACAGTATTTACTGACCCCCTGTTGTGGACTATGAGGACTTCGCCTCACCTCCCACATTCCCTTTCCCTATCTTCCCAACAGGGTTTATGACAATTTTGCTTACTACTGACCTAAGGAAAGTACTTTGATCGTGACGTTTTCTCCTGTGCAACTTCAATCCCCAAACTCTCAGAATCACTGTAAATACTGTTTTTTTTTCTCATGGTCAAACGCGTCAGAGAATAAATCTGTTCCGTTTTCCTTTAGGGGCTCTTTTCCCCAGACTTGTCTGCGTCCTGCCCTGATCCGGGCCTTGGGCCAACCGCCCTGGCGCTTCCCTCTGTCTCTCTGGGAAACTCCTCGTCTGCCTGCCCCACTGGGGTCTTCATTTCCTGCGCTTTGCCCCTTCCTCTATCCCGGTTTACTCACCCATTTTCATCAAGCACATTATCCAGGAACTTTTTGAGAAGGAAAACATAGCAAGTAAAAATGTTGAGACCTTTTGAGTCTGAAAATGTCTGATTGATAGTTCAATTCGATATAGAATGCTTCACTGAAAGAACTTCTCCTACATCACCTTGGAAGAGTTGTTTCGGGGTCCTGCTGCCTTCAGCGTCGCAGTTAAGAAGTCTGATTCTGAGTCTAAACGGCTCCAACACGCATTTTTTCAGCCAGTCTCCCTGAGTGGAGCCCTTACCCACCAGCTTCGCTCTCCATGGTACAGCCAAGCCCCAGCTTCCCGGCTTCTCTGGGGCAAAGCAGGCTCCTCTCCCGGGCATGCCTCCCTCGGGCTGTGTGGTCCGGCTTTCTTGGGTTTAGGTTCCAGTCTGTCGATTACCATTCCTCATCCAAGGGTGACCAGGGAAGCACTTGGCCACTCAGGGGCACTGAACGGCCGCTTCCTACAAATGACCAACAGGGTCAGATCTGTGCGGACCGCTGAGCAGACAAGTGTCTGCCCTGCCTCTGTGCAAACTCGCTCTCTCCAAAACCCCCGTAACGCTCTGTGTTTACTGTTGTCTCCTTCCCATACTCCCTGTCCCGAGGCGTGCCTGCCTTTTTGTGTTCCTTTAGTATCATTTTGGTGGGATTTCAGCATGAGTAGAAATAAATGCATGTGTTGAATAGCAAAGTCTACAATATGCTATGTTCTGTTATCACATTTAATCCTTCACAAACCCTTATAGGTGAAAGGCATTTTTACATCTGACGTAAGGAAACTGAGGTGCACATATGTTTACAACTCTCGCTCAAGATTGGACAGGTAATTAGTATGGAACCAAGTTCAGATCAGCTGGTCTGGTCCCAAAGCCCACACTCTCACCTCTCAGAGAGCAAGCATCTCTCAAAGCCCAGGGGTGTCTTTCTGCAGCCCTTTCTCCATCTCAATGTGCTTCCCCAACCTTCTGCTAGATGCGTGTCTGTCAAAGGAGGTCAGCTGTCCACTTGTGTCAGAAGCACTTGGGAGTGACCGTTCTACATGTGCACTCCTGGGCTCTGCCCCAGACCTCCTCAGAGAATGTTCATCTCAAGGGGGTGAGGGGCCGGGGTTTGCATTCCAAGCTGGACCCCCCGAGGATGATGACTCTCAGACGTCTTGAGAAGCACCGCTCTAGTTAATGTTCGCCTCTCCAAAGCAGTGACACACACCATTTCTTACTGGCCTGAATCCCTCGTGCTGTTGGGTGACTTAGGTAGGTCTTGATGAATCTAGGCTGTTTACACGGGAATTCTAGAGATGAACATCTCAGATAATTAAGGTGCAATACTGAGAAGTAAACATTCAGAGTTGCTTTTCCCAGGATAGAACACCTAAATATGCTACTACTACAAAAAAAAAATCTAAGTATGCTACCTCAAAAAGCATAATCTAAACAACTCAACTGGGATAAAAATACAGCAATTAGCAAGAGAACCAGGGAGGACTAGGGGACAGTTCCACAAGAGAAACTAATATTTGCACTGATCCTGGCGCTGGAACACCCCGGCGAGCCAGAGGCCAGGCGCGAGGACTGGGCAGGTAGAGGGCCAGCTGCGGCTCCACCCGGGCAGGCGGAAGGGGCATCTCAGTGGGGGCCGGGCCGCCCGCTGCACCACGGTCAGTGTGGGTCTGTCAGAAGGGACTCTGTGACCAAGCCTGCTGCGGGCCTCTCTGGGGATACACACCCCACAAACGCCACTCCCAAAACACATCCCGGGGGGGGCGACGACACCACAGTCAGAGTGTGGGTTCTGCAGGGGGTTGCCTGTGGCGCGCTCTCCATGCCGTCACCTTGGCGTGGCCTCGGACAAACCCTAGCCTCGCTGGGTCTCCGTGTCCTTATGTGCAGACATCTGGCTCACAAAGTGGGTGTGAAGACTGACTTGGCGAAGCCGGGGCAAGGCCTTCACAGGCACGGCTCCCGGGACAGGAGCCCTGCCAACTCTGGTTGGGTGACATACCCTGGTGCCCCGGCAGCACATGCCGACCCGACTGGTCTCTCGGGGTTTGACCTTTTAATGTCCGCCTCATACTTAGCTCTGGTATTTAGAAATAGAAACAGCGGTCCCGTTTCTGGAGTAAAGCTTGGCAGGTCACTTCTGGAACCTCCTCGAGCACTGTAAGTACCATCGGCACCTGGCCTGGCAGCCACTTCTCCACAGATGTGCAATGCCACATGCTGACCGCAGGGCCTGTTTTTCCCAGCTGGGTCTAGTCCCTCCTTCTTGCCGCCTTTTGTCACCGGCTGCCACTGGCCACCACCACCCCCTCCAGAGATACTGCCTCCCAGGGCTTCCAGACCCCACAAACCCAGCCATTCCGTGATCCTGTGGCCCCCATTTCTCACCAGACTGGCTTCTTAGATACTTTCAGACATCCTGCTTTGCTAAGCCTGTGTGACCTCTACATAAAGCCAACACACAGGTATTGATTTTTACAGTCACCACACCCTCTCAAACTCTAGAAAACAGATTCCCTGAAAGTGAGTTTTGTATTTAGAAATTACTTTTAAATGGAAAAGAAAAGCCTTCCCTTTTACTTGGGTTTTCTCTTTTGGGATGGGTCACAAAACTTAAACTGTGCAATAGAGCCTTAGGAATGTCATCCTCGCGCCATAAACGTGTCCTGCACTACACCCACAAATACCTCTCCCACGTCGGCCTGGAGCGGAGCCCCAAAAGGGGAAAGTAGGATCTAGGACAGCCTTTTTTTCTTCAAAACCTTCCTTTAGTGTTAAACCAGATTTAAATATATGGAAACTAAGTTAAAATTACTCATCAATGACTTTCCTCTTTTGATTCATATAACTTTCAAGCGATCATCATGAATACCGCCCTGCGAATCCCCAGCATCAGCGGGTGTTTTAAAAGTGAGATCAAGCAACATTCTCGTCATAATGTTGTTTTTTACAACTGTGAGCCGGGAGCCCGTAGCAAGTTCCTGCCCCCTCTCATCTTAGCGGGCATTTTTCCTATCATATCCTAGACTTGAAATGTTAATCTTTTTTTTCTGACATACAAAAACCAAAACTTAATCAAATGAATCAGGTACCATGTTACTGATGGACAACGCAGCACAAAAACATCAGAATTATCTCTTAATAACGGATGGCCCCACACAGCTCAAGTCCAACCCATAAAGCACTGTTCTGCACCGATTTGCTTGGACAAGAAGTTCCACTCACTGTGGGGACTGTGCGAGGAGGACAGGAGCATCTGGGCTCCCAGAGCAGAAAGATGGCGACTCCGTCGGGGGAGAGCTGTGGCCATCCTGCTGCTGGAAGCTGCTCATCCCACATTTTCCTCTGGGTTTCCTAATAAATAGGAAAACAAAGAAATCGTTTAGAGGTCTCTGTCTAACTAGACTCAAAAACTATTCTATAGTTCTAGAACTCCTCAAAGAAACTGCACCCTGGTATCACAGGATGACCCAGTAATAAAACACTGACTGTCAACCAAATTGCAATAAAGACCCCATCAGCGCTTTTATATCCTAAACATTTCGTTGGATTTTTAATGTAGGCCGGTGCTTGACTCGCCATCTCCCACCACCCTTACTCCCTCCCTAAACAAAAGGGAAATAGCTGCAACATAGTTTGTTATATATATTTTTGAAGTTTGGGGCTGGATTGCCCAGGGTTCAAACCCCAGCTCAGCCATCCACTGTGTCCTTGGGCAGACACGTCACCTAAGTTCTTTGTACTTCACTTCCTTCATCTATAAAATGAGGATAATACCTCTAGAGTTGAGTGAGAACTAAATGGATGAATTTAATATATATAAGCACTTAAAACAATGCCAGAACATAGTAGGCACTCCACAAAGGTTAGCTATTTTTATTATAATCTTGCAGCCCACAGGCCAATCATTCGTTGATTAGGAAATTACTATTCTGTTCAGGGCCCAATGTGACGAGAAGTTACATGTTACCTTGGGGACCAGTGAGAAGGACAAGTGTGTAACTTGAACAAGTGCTTTTACTCTGAGCCTCTCGCAGCTCAGAGACGAGATACTGTGCACCCTGGCGCCTAGGCTGCGACACAGAACACACGTAAGCAGCCCTGGTTATGGAAGAAAGTACAAATCTGACTGCCTCTGGGAAATCACTCCTAAAGAACACTTTTTTAAAAATTTATTAATTATTTGTTTTTATTAAGGTATCATTGCATACACTCTTACAAAGGTTTCACATGAGCAACAGTGTGGTTACTACTTTCACCCATACTATCAAAGTCCCCCCGCACCGCATTGCCGTCACTGCCCGTCAGTGTAGTGAGAGGCCAGAGTCACTGCTTGTCTTCTCCATGCTGGACTGCCTTCCCCAGGACCCTCCACACATACACCATTGAACACTTCTTTTTAAGGAGCAGCCAGCAAAGCTCTTAAGTTAGAGAAAGAAGTGACGCCCACCAGTTCTGAAAGCTTTGATACCCGACTTTGAAGACCAGATTTGAGCTTCGGGCCGGTTTGGCGCTGTCTGGCCTCGGCTTCCTGTAAGCCCGTTTCCAGCGTTCAGGAGGCTCACGAGTGATGCAGATGCGCCAGTGCGTTCACAGGGGGTGTCGGAAACTGCAAAGCTGGGTCATACGGGCGCCATCAGAAAGGATTCTAATGAAAATGTCTTGTCCAAAACTCATCGGTAGGCCCAAGTCGGTCCCCGGGCAACCAGATGCCAGCTCCTGAGTTCGTTTTGTAACTGGTCTGCTAGCACAACGAGGTTTCCATCAACTGTCACTCAGTCCTGGGCAGCTGGACTCGGTTCTCTGTGAAACGACTTACTCACTCCTGGGTGTTTACACAGGACTGGCCTTCCTCCTCGGCCATCACCCAGCCACAGGTACACCTTGCACCATACACATCTGTCAGGGCCAGTAGGGCCTCCTAAAGGACAAGGCAAGCTGCTCTTAGGAGCTCATTGAAGCGCTCTCCGGGGGAGCACCTGGTGTCAGGCAACGTGGTCCCACACGTATTAACAGAGCATAACCACACAGCACAAAGGGAGCGACACGTGCTTTTCTATTTTTCAGCCCCAATTTTACTAAGAGGGTTTGGATTTACCAAATCATGTCATCCATTTCCTTCCTCACTCCTTTAGATAAACGGGTGTCTTCCATTTACCAGGAGCAAAACTTTTAATCTTTGCTATTTATAAGGAAAATTACAACAAATCTGCTTCTAATCTTGCCATTTCTGAGCTTGCTCTGAACTCAAGTCGCTTCGGCCGGTACATGTGACATGTGGCGCCTCAGGTCCTCTGCTCAGCCCCATACCGAGGCTCATAAGGCTTGTCTCCCACCTGGAGTTTGCGATCTGAAATGACCAGCTGGGACTCTGGCAGATGTAAGACGGACACACAGAATGGTGTTCGCAACAAGCAGACAAAGGACGCGGACAGGGCTCGGGGTGGCCGAGCTGGCCAACCGGCTGTCCTAGCAGTCGTCCTGTTTGCACTCAGGTTGCCGCTTCCCTCATTCTTAGCTGTGGACACTGAAGCCTGACCTGGCAAATGCCCCACGGGGCCGAGACGGAAACGGGCTCCTGAGGGATGGGCCGCTGGGCAGGCGAGGCAGGGCTTCCTCCTCCCTGCACGGAGCAGCAACTGCCCACCTCCGGGCCACCCAGTGTTTTAGGAACATATTAATCAAAACTATCATGTTAAATGTGAGAAGATGATGGTGACGGTGAGTAGTTTTTTTTGTTGTTCAATTTCATAAATTTGATTGTGTGAACATTCTGTGCCAGCCACTACCCTGAGCCTTCAGGTAACAAGGATGATTCTTAGGGATGACAAGAAACATGGGGAAAACCGTTAGCACCACGTAGTCAGTGTTGTAAGGGGGGTTCTTAATGATGCTAAGGGCCAAGGAGGACGCTCCTCATCTCTGCCCCAGGCAGGACCTGAGCAGCAGTTCACCAGATGGACGTTGCATGGAAAGGCGTCTGAGCATCAGGAAAAGCATGATGCGAGGTCTAGGGAATGACAAAGAGCGGCTTAGGGAGCTACCCGTGGCCGGAGGGCACTGTACCGAAGCAGGAAACAGGCCAGATCTTGAAGGCCCTTCTACACCCTGCTAAAGGCTTGGATGTGTCTGCGGGCAGTTGGAAGCCCCCAAGGGACTGCCACAGATTCACAGGATGCTCTGGCTGCCCTGCGTGGGCTGAATCATAGGAGCAGCACAGGCGGGGGAATCTCAGAAAGTCCGTGGACGGTAGCAGTGATCGGGCAGTGCGGTGGCTGGAACGAGCATGGGGAGCGACGGCAGCTCTGACGACCCACTAGACACAGGGGGCAAAAGGAAGGGGGGACACCGAGGGACTCCTAGGTCCCTGATCTGGAGGGCGTGGGGCCAGGGCGGCGGCGCTCCCGGAATACAGCGCGGTTTGCTGGGAGAAAGGCACGTTCTGGGACCCACGTCGGGGTGGCCATTCTGGAGGCGGAAGGGGCACAGCCAAAGCTCCCGAGTTTGGGGAATGTTCCTCTTGTGGGTGGTGGTGAGGCTGGGTGGGGGAAGCTGGCCGGGAGAGGGGCGGAGAGCGGGCAGAGGAAGGGGCAAGGGCGACGGCAGGACGCAGGCGGCAGGATGCCCGGGGACAGGACGCGGTCACGGAAGCACAGGAAGCGAGTGTCAGGTGTCACCAAGAGGCCAGGAGGGACACCTCTGAAAGGGGGGCGGTGGACTGGGGGCCCGTCACTCACGTGCTCGGGTCGGTGACTGTGCACTGAGCACCTGCTAAGCACACAAACCGTTCGAGGCACTGAGGATAAATCAGCGGACAAAACGGAAAGTAATCCTGCGCTCTGGACTTAGTCTAGTGGGGGACGCCGACAATAAATAAATAAATAAGTGAAATTTTAATATATTGGGTAAGTACTGTGGAGAAAAAGAAAACTGGTAAGGAGGGCCACGGTTGGGGTTGGGCGAGGTGTGGGTACCGTGTAAAATAAAGTGATTAAAAGGCTTCAGTGAGCAAGAGAAAGGCCTTGAAATTAGAGTGTTACTAGCATGGGTTTCAGTACGGCGAGAAGGTAAAAGCCAGATCTCAGTGAAGCGAAGAGCAGGAAAAAGAGAACAGCGGGTAACAGTAACTCCCCCAAGAAGCTGCCGCTAAGGGGAGGGGTGAGTGAGGTCCTGGCCCGGCGGGAGGGGCCTGCAAGCAGGTGGCTTTGTGCGGCGGAGCCGGGAAGCGGGCTGCGAGCCTGCCCAGCGCCAGGGGCGGGTGCACTTTGCCGACAGCGGGGATGTCGCTGCTTGGAGTCACGAAACTGGGTGTCTCCCACCCAGCCCTCCACCAACTCCAGCTTCGCCCTGAATTAGGAAGCAAGACCTGCTTTCAGTAGAGGGAGCACATGGATATCATGAGGGGTTTCCACCGATTGGGACACAGATAATAAACATGCAAAATTTATCGGAAGAGCTGATGTCTGAAATGGGAACTGAATCTAGGGACGAGCAAAGTGGTGGCCAAGTGCACCAGGAGCTCGGGGGCAGTGCCAGCTCCAGATGGGGCCCTTCACGCACATCTCAGGGCCGCCAAGTCTGGCAGGGAGAGAGCACCTACCTCATGGGTGAGAACACCGAAGTCCACAGAGGTGAGGTCCCACGCATGAGGCCACGCAGCCGGCGGGTACCGGAGCCAAGATTCCAGGGACAGCGGACTCTCCTTCACAACGTGCAGCTTGAGATACAAAGGGGAGCAGAATATACAACCCCTGCACTCGGCGCTTCCACACTGCTGGGAACCCGAGCGTATGAATGACTATCAAACAATGAGATGAATGAGACACTGGTTTATAAGCCGGGTTCTGCGGGAATACAGGCTTGTAAATTCCCCCAGATGGTTAGATATTTACGGTCGGCCAGGAAGGAGAACAGGAATGGCAAAGACGAGATATTAACAAATCCTCGTGATGATACAGTGAGTATCCTTCACTGCCACTGTATTTTAAAATACGTATCCAACACATCATTTAAAATCAGCAGTTTCTTAAGTGCATGTGTAGTTCACTATTAGGAGCCTTATTTGCAGATTTTGAAAATACAAAGTTTGATTCATACATTGAAAGTGAAGTGTTTCAAGATACCAAAGCTTTTACATTTTGTAGAAGGAATGAGGGAAATAAGAATATAATGTGTAGATATAGATGTATCTTATTTTTGCATATGTTCTGTAAGAACTAACCAGAACCTCTCTGGTAAGGATGCGGGGAATAAGCTAGAAGGGACAGGCATGGAAGTGAGACATCTCCGTATATCTTTTTCTAGAGCTTTGATTTGTAATCCATGTAAATGTTTTACATAGCAAAAAAAAAAAAACAAAAAAAGCAAACCCTAAAATTATAAACAGCCTGAAATAGATTAACCAAACCGTGTATCAAATTGGTAAGATAACCAGAGACAAGAACTTTGAATGAATTTTTTAACAGTGTTCTAATTATGCCTCTTACTGCTATATATTCTGAGAGCAGAAAGATTTTTGAAGACATCTTAAACTTCATCCTGTATTTTTATTTTGAGTTGCAATTACAGCATTCTGAGACTATTTATTATATATTATAGAATAAATCAGTTATTTTTATGTTGTTAGGAACCAAGAGGTTTAGTGTAAGAAAATAGTGTACAGATACTAAAAAATAGAAAAATACTAATTGATCTGAACATTAAAAGACAATCAATAGGTGAACAGGCAAATTAAGAACGGAATAAAGTATTTTTAAAGTGTATATCTGATAAGGGATATTTAATACCCATAATATATAAAGAAGTCCTACGACTCAACAATAGAAAAAACCTAGATAACCTGATTTTTAAGAATGGACAAAGGACTTAAAGAGACATTTCTCCAAAGACTTGCGAATGTCCAACAAGCATATGAAAAGATGTTCAATATCACTAGTCATTGGGGAAATGCAAATTGAAACCATACTGAGGTATCACCTCATGCCCATCAAAATGGATGCTATTTAAAAAATAATAGTAATATAACAAGTGTTGACAAGGACGTGAAAAAAATGGAACTCTTGTGCACTCTTGGTGGGGAAGGGGAAAAACGGGAGAAGGAATTCACCTCACCCTCTGTAAGGGACTGTAGTTCATGCCCAGTGGGGTGAGGGGAAGTTCTACCAATGCAGTGAATGTGGAAATAAAAGAAACAGAAGATCACCATTTTGCTACCGCCAATAAATTAGCCGATTCAGGCAAAGATTATACATACAACCTAAAACCCTTAGGTAAAATGTTGTGCGGAAACAAGCTATTCAGACAGTGCCAATGTATTGCCCACGGGTTACTTACTAATTTCAAAAGGAAATATATCAAAAACTGTGAAGGGTCTGAGAAACCCTACTTGCAAACTAAGTCAGCCTGCTAGTTTCTTAGATGCCTTAGTGACAGTTTATGCCGCACAGTTTATGCAAAATCCATGTGGTAAAATGAAGAGGACCAGGTGACACCTGTACCCTGTGGGCTGTATAATAGTAAAAGGACTCGGAGCTTAGGGAGGCCTAATCTTTTATACTGGACAGTAAGCATGCCTACCCTTGGCTGCAGGGGAAAAACTGTCTCCACCTTCCCAAGCTGTCTGCTATCCAAACTTCCCTGGGGGAAGTCAGTGCCTCGTTTGCAAGTTGTGCAAAGAAGTGAGACGCTGGAGAATCGTCTCCCCATACGTACGTGCGGTGGAGAGACCTGGCCACTGCCACCTTCACCAGGGGCTCAAACCAAGCACAGCTAATAATGGACACTGTGCCTCCTGATGTGATGCAACACTAAGTACACAAGCTCCTATGAGTCATCAGTTGAATCTGATCAAGTCTTTACACATAATTTCCAGGTTACAAGAAATACAGGGAATGGAAGAACAAGGTACTGCCACCAGGAAGCAATCAGACACATAATCAACAAGACAACTGGCTCAATTTAAAAAGTCAATAGAAAAGGGTAAGTGGAGGGACAATCTGGTATAAAGGAAGACATAATTATATGTAATGCATGAATCTTGACTGGATTCTGGATCAGAAAAAGATATTTTGGGGACAACTGGGGAAATCTGAACATGGACTGGATATTTGATTATTTTAGAGCACTATTCTCGTAGGGGTGATAGTAATATGGGTTTTGTAGAACGTCATTCTTAGAAGATACATTTTGAAGGGACATGTATATCGGCAACGTAGCTTCAAATTGCTTGGCAACACACATGAGATTGACAGGAAATTGTTTCTATTCAACCACTTTCTATTAAAACTTCATACAGTTCAACTTAACAGACAAAACAAGCTTAGCAGATGTTAACAGTCGTTAGAAGTCTCATTGTGGATATATATCATGATTGTACTATTCTTTCAACTCTCCTGGTTTCAACATTTTATTAATACAATTTTGAAAAAACAAAATAAGACATAACAGTTTGACATAAAAACTCACAGAGGAAGTGAATCCTGTGTTTGCCACTTGGTGGCTGAACGACAAGAATGATGCTGAGAGAAGGTGCTTGGGGAGGGGAAGGGCCTGCGGACAGCTTCATTCTATCAGTACTGTCCATGGGGTGCTGACCCTGTAAGCGTGACCCTGCATAACAAAGGTGTGCTTTAGAACAAACTCGCTGAACATGACATGGCTTTGGCCTCTAAAGCCCACCCACAAGATGCTGTATGACCTGGGCGGGGTACCTAATTTCTCCAGGGACTTAGTGTTGAGTAGATCTGAAGAGAAGGAAGAACTTGGAATGACTTCCAGATTTCTGACCCGGAGCGACACTTCAGGAAGAGGCGGCGTAAGCATCCGGGGGTGGGTGGGGGAGGTATTTCAGGCCAAAGGACTCAGAGAGGAGATTCTTCGGTTTAGAAGTGATAATGAGGGCTCAGAGTCATCTAATTTTAACAAATCGGGATTTCTTTTTGTACCCCAAGCTGATGAAGAGAAACACAGAATATGTCTATTTTTCAAATGTTCTATAATGAGCATATATAGTTTATTTTTAAAGAAAGGTTATTTTTAAAGCAGTTCTACAGTGCAAAGCTCAGAAGCAGCAAAAACTGACACAAGGTTTTGTATGACCTATATTTTTACTTGAGTAAATTATGTGATTATGAGCTAAATATTAAGGTTTTAAGTACATGCACATAACTTATAAAATAAATTTATATCAGTTAATAACAACAGAACACAGCTTGTGCATTTTGACTTCAGTTCAGGGAGAAATAATAGTAATAACTCCAGGGTCAGGGTCACCCAACAGCAGTGGGGGTGGCATCCGGAGAAGAGGTGGGCAGTGAATAGAAACATTCTCACAGCCAGATGCCAGGGGAAACAGCAGGCATGACAAGGCAGCTGGGGACATGAGCCATCCAGGGTCCCCAGGGAGGAACGAAAACACGGAAAGGGAGGTTGGACGTCCAGTCAACACCAGCACAAATGCTCCGCTAACGGCCACAAGATGGCTCACTGATTACATTTCCAGGCATGAGTGGTAGTCACCCAGACCCTCACCATCACCCTGTTAGGTGGGATTGCTGTTTGGTTCGGTCTCATCAGAGATGGAAAAGCAGGGTGGGCAAACAGTACAGGAGGACCCATGACGAAAAGCAGTAGTTCTTTGGTTTTTACTTCCCGGCCTCGGTCCCACTTTGCAAGGGCAGTTCTGGCTTCCTGACTTTTCGACCTGCTGATGCTGTCCAACCGCACACATGACCGAGTGCTATTGAAGACACCACTTACTGACTCTTGCAACGACAGACAGACCCGGCTTACCGGGCATCGCCCAGGCACACACAACAGACACTCCACAAGCCAGTTCGGTTGCTCACGTCTGCAGCTTCCATCTCCTCGCGCTTGTTTCCAGGCTCTCAGATGGAGACCACGTCCCTTGGATCTCTGTTTGTGAGAGGAGAATATCTGCGCCCCTGTTTCCCCTAGGCTCCCCATCTCTGCTTCCACCTCAGCTTCTCATAAAGCTGTGCTCTCCTCGGTTTCTGTAACAGGACATTCACATTCCATCTGTAGCCACAATGAAGCCTTCCGCAGTTTGTGCTCAGGTTAGAGTCGGCTGGACTCTAACAGGCAGTAGCCAATGAACAGCATTAAGCAATTATGTTTATGAAAACTTACCTTCACATCAAAGCCAAGGACTGCTTCCTTCTCTGTGATGTGTCACAACCCGATGCTGCTCACTTGCTCAAAACCATGGTTAGGTATTCTTTTTTCCTACTGTTTTCTTTTCTTGTTCAAAGAGGAAGCCTGTGCCATCTTGCTCATTCTATCTGTTGCTCGGAATCCTTACTTTTTTCTGTTTGAAGCCCATTTGACATCCTAGTCTAACCTGGTTCATATTTTTATTGGGGCTTTCTTTTTTAATTTCTAGTTGCTTTTCTTCTTTTCACGAATTTCATGCCCATTATGTGTCTTCAAGTTCTTCCAATTCTATGTTCTTTGAAATTCCTTTCCTTCCAGAAGCCCTATTCTTGCTTAAATATGCAACGGCACATAGCTGATATTCTCGGTCACATCCGCTGTTTCCTGAATAGCACGTCTTCCTTCGTTGTTTTACTGAAGGTGCTCACGCCCAGATAATTCCCTGAGCAAAGGTGGATGGCAAGTTAAGATTTCTGAGTCTTTGCGTGTCTGACAGCCTTGTTTTGCCCTCACAAGTAATTTGAGTGCGCAGAGTTTTCCCAAGTTGAAAATCAATTTCCCCCAGAATTTTGAAGCTATTGTGCAACTGTCTCTAGTGCAGCTGAGAAAACCAATGCCAATATGATTCTTGTTTCTTACAGGGATTGGTATTTCCCCACCCTGGGAAAGCTGTTAGGATCTTCTCTGCATAACGTATTCCAAAACTTCCAAACGTGCAGGGCCTTTTCCATTCGCTCTGATCAAACTCAGGAGGCTCTTTTTAATCAAAAGCTCACATTTTAGTCATAGAAATTCTCATTGTTTTATCACTTTAGTATCTTTCTCCCCTCCATTTCTCTGTTCTTTCTGGAATTCTTACTAGGTTCTGTTTGCACTGCCTCTGGGTTGTGTGTTTTGTGTTTTATATTCTCATATCTTACATACTTTTGCTCCAGTTTTGGGGATATTTCCTCTGCTTTATCTTAAAATCTTCTATTGAATATCTCATTTCCGAGGGTTCTGTCCCGTTTTCTGACTCCCCCTTTTTATAGCATCATGTTCTTGTTTAACAGATGTAATATCATTTTGCATCTCTCTAGTGATAAATACTTAATTTTGTAGGGTTTTTATTTGACTCTTTTTGTGTTCCCTGAATTATACGTTTCCCCTGGGGTTACTTTTTCTGTTTTTCTTCATGATACTGTAGGCTTTTCTCAAATGTTTGGTGATTCTCAGTTGTCAGGCAATTCTCAAGAATGAAAGAGGAAAAAGGCTGAATAGGAACTCTAAGCACATGTGTGGGGCTTGCTGACTGGCAGGCTTCAATTTAGGGTGAATATTCCAAGACCCAAGCACTGCGCTGAGGCCTCTCAAATGCTGGGATGCAGATGGCTTCCTGCCGGGGTGAACGACACCTCCACCTGCCCAGGTTTTCTCAGATACTTTGGTGTCTTAGATAAAGTCCCTCTGGTCAGATGTTGGCCGGCTTTGGCGCTGCCTGTGGCTGGACACCTAGGTGGCGGGGGTTCTCGGCACCGCAGCTGAGGAGCAGCGTGGAGACGGCCGGTTCGTATACAGAGCATCACTGTCTTCCGTCCTCTCTTCACAGCTTTTTCTCTGACTTTCACCTTCCCTGTGGCCGTTTGGTCTCGATCTGACACTGCACGGGAAATTCACTGTGAAGCAGGGAGCAGCTGAGCGTGTGTCCTTTGTCCTCCAAGGTTGGTACGCAAGCCTGTGACCTTGTGAAGGGTACAAAGCTGTCTAGTATAATAAACTAAGAAAATGGAGATGAAATAGTCTGGTTTCTCTTCTTTGCATCTGCACACACCAGCTGTCAGATACCACTGGAAAACCGATTTCTCCTATTCCTGAAAGGAAGTATGTTTTAATTTTCAATAATAACAGCATAAATGAAGTGGCAATGCAATAAATAGAAGAGGAACTTTTAAAAGTACAGTATTTGCATTTGTGACTTTTTTTTTGGGTCCCATCTAATTCCTCTCTCTCCAACGGTCCCTGAAATCACGCCAGCAGACTGACATCCTGATAAACTCTAAAAGGAAGAAGGAAAACGGTCTGACAGGCAGGGTGGGTGCGGCAGCTCGGGAGGTCACAACCAGCAAGAAGGAAAGCGCAGCTTCTGAAGTGTATGCAGATAAGGCCTTGGGTTCAAGGGCTGGAAGGAAGCACAGACTGCAGAGTGCCCACAGGGCACCTGATGACAGCCTCCGGTGAAGGAGCCCCGCCTTCAGGTTCTTTGTTTAGCCCCCGCTTCCAAACAAAGCAAGCTGCAAGGCCGGCCCTAACCAGGCAACAAAAAACTTCCTTCCTTTGGTGAAAGTATCTGTCTCTGTCTGACCTATTATTGCAAGAAGGGCCATCTTTCTCCTGAAGTTTTTGCTGTTAGAGAAGATTTGTAAAAGCTGTGATAAAAGAATGCAAAGAGTCTGGTAATTAGAATAAAAATTTGAGTCCATGTCCATGTAACCCTGTAGGAGTTCATTCCCATCCTGGGCCTCAAATTCCCCAGTTGCAAAATGTGGTAGGCGGATGGAATCAGAAAACAAAAGTGATTCTAAGTTTCTAAAAGACTTCTGTTTTCCTCTTTACCTCCTTCTTCCAATTAAAAAAGCTTAAGCTGCAAAATCATAATCTAGTCTACCTGCTTTCCGTGTACCTGAGATTAATTCACATACTTTCTGAGTAACATGATAAGCTTTAGAAACATACACCAGTTTCTGCATGGCCCCCTCGGGGGCGGTGGGGGTCAGAGTGGCCCAGTACAGGCAGTGTCCCAAGCCGGCAGCGTCCTGGCCAGCACCCACAGTCCATTCTCTCTCAGGAGATGATACTTTCCTTTCCAAAATGTTTATTTTTTTCTCAGAATAATGCTGGATATATGGACAGGTCTTCATTTGACTACCTGAATGATCAGTTTCTTACATTATTTCTCCAAGGCAAAATCAACTCACATAATTTTGTGTCAACTCACCAGAATTCTTCGTGGTATAAAAAACATTAAGCCATCACCCAACTCTGGCCGGGAAGGTCTCCTGGAATATCTTGCGGGCGGTACCCCCACCCCCAACACTTTCTGGGGGTAACAGTCCTAACTGGCCTCATCAGCGCACGGACACCCTGCTCACTCCTGCCCCGGGAGAAGTCGAATTCCTCAGTGCTTGTAACTTGGTTCACCTCGCTTCTGAGTGGCGCCGGCAGGGTCACCTCGCCCCGGCCCGCACCACCGTCGGGGCTGCCTACACGATGGAGGCCGCGCCTGCAGTGCGGGGAGCGGGTCGGACTGCGGCGTCGCCCCTGTGGACGGGCCCGCGGCGCGGCTAGATGCCCAGCCTCTCCGTGCCGAGCGCGCTGGCGGCGGCTGCCTCCTCGGGGGGCCCCTCGGGGGGCCCCGGCGCGCGCCGCCCGGCGTCGGGGAGGCCGAAGGACGAGTTGTCGTAGAAGGCGGGCCCGGGCCGCGCGGGGAAGCTCCGCCGCCGCCCCCTGCGCGCCTGGCAGGCGCCGGCCCGGGGCCCCGGGGGCGAGGAGCCGCCCCGCGCTCGCTCCCCCGCGGCCGCGCCTGCGCCCGGCGGCCCGTCCGCCGCCGCGTCCCGGGCCCGCAGCCCCAGGGAGGACAGGCTGCGCTCGCGGAACGGCCGCGGCCGCCGGGCCTCGTGGAGGCTGGCCGTCCTCCGGAAGGGCGCGCCCTCGGCGGTGTCGGCGCGCGGGCCCCGCGACACGCGGTACAGCGTGGTGGCCTCGGTGAGCCCCCGCCGCCGCATCTCCTTGAGCTGCTGCTGCGCCAGGCGGTAGCTGAACAGCGGCGGGGCGATGCGCTGCGCGCCCGGGGGGCCGTCGTCCTCGGGCCGCCGGCAGGTCAGCGGGATGCCCGCGCCCCCCGGGCCCTCGCCCGCGTCCGAGGAGCTGCCGCGCCGCTCGCTCGGCTCGCAGATGTTCTCCTCGTCCGAGTTCTTCCGGCAGCCGGGGGCGCCCAGGGAGCCGGGCCGCGCGGGGGCTCCGCAGGCGGGGGTGCGGCCCAGCCTGCGCCACAGCGCGAGCAGCACGGTGGCCGCCACGACGCACAGGCACAGCGAGATCCCCGCGACCGGCACCACGTCGCTGGACTGGGCGGGCCGCGGCGGCGGGCGCGGGCGCGGGCTGGACGGCCGGAGAGCTGCAGGAGGGAGAACACAGGGTAGCGGGCGTCTGCGTGCGGGGGGCGCCTCACCAGGCCCGACACTCGGAATGCCAATCAGGGAGGTAGGTCGTCCCCAAGTCCGCGCGACTCACCCCGCACCTGGGGCCAGGAACTGCCGCCCCGCGGGCGGAAGCCTGTCTCGCTCGCCCCTTCTCGGCCGTCCGCTCCCTTCCTGCCTCCGCAGGATCCGCAGTAGTCTCCCTCCTAGACGTCACCGAGGCACAACCGACCACCAGGCCGAACTCACTGCAGCCACCAGAGCTTGCACTCTGGCCCGCGGCACGTCTCTCACACTGTACACTGAGTCCAAGCACGTGTTCCACATTCTCTTGTCTCACGCGGCAGTATGGAAAGAACAAGGCCTCCTCACCACAAAAGGGAATTCCATCACTGATTCAGCCTTAATTACTAAACTTCTAGAGGCTTCACAACTCCCGCACCGACTAGGCACAGTCCACTGCAAATCACATCAAAAGGATGACTCCCCCATTGCAAGAGGTAACAACAAAGCCGACAGGGTAGCCCGGTCAGTTGCCCTATCAGAAGACACACCAGACAACAATCCATCTGCCCTTGCGGTTTTAGCCTTATCACAAGACACCCTCTGTTCCCAGGACAAAGAGTCTCTCTTCCGCTTCTTACACGATCTGTTCCATCCCAGCCCCCAATCCTTGATCCATTTTTTACAATCCTTTTTTTTCTCTCTCCTGAAGACAAAACCCTACTTAACCAAATCACCCCTTGAAACTCTGCATCTCCCGTTCACCCCCTTTGCCATCCATACCCGAATCATGACTTTTTCCCCCTTTACTGCTCTCTCGCTTTTTTTCCTCATTCCTATTGTCTTCCCTGCCACCCCAGCCTCCTTTGTATGGCGATTCAAAGTCAAACAGACTTACACACAGCATCAAACAAAAGTTACTGCCCTCACTGCCACACCAGACTGCCCTCTGAAAGGCTGCTCCGAGCGTTTGTACCTCCACTTTCCTCCCTCCACCGAAGTGTTCACTAGCAGCTACCCTTATTCTCCCCACCTCTGCTTCCTCTATGACCAAAGACAAGCCCATTGCAGGCGATGGCCAGACACCTACGGGGGATGTCCCTACTGGTCTTGCACCATTCACTACATGGGTGACTTCCAGTACCCACAGTATTACTCCTCCAACCGTTTCATGAAATATCCCAACGGCTCATTCTCCTTATCAATCCCAGATCCCTGGGACTCTCGATGGGCTGCTGGAGTAACAGCCTCAGTTTACTACAAGGGGTCCTCGACCCCCCATGGTACCCTTCATATCTCTCGAGAGTATGTTCCCTCTCGCTCCCAGATCTCTCAAGTTGCATCAGATATCAGACATTCCGAAAAAGTCATTATCCAAACTCTTGACGGCGCCTCTTCATCTTCTTATTCCTCCTACTCTTGGTTACAGCTCATTCAAGACACCACCATCTTTCTCAACCACACCCTCAACACCGCCAATTGTTTCTTGTGCGCATCACTACAGCGCCCACTGCTGGCCGCCGTGCCCCTTAATATTTCCAACTACTCCTTCCATGCAGAAGGACAACCCCTCCGTCCCCTGGCAGACATACCCCTATGGGAGCCAGAATACCCAGATAATCTCACCATCCACCACTGTGTAGGCCCAACTCCACCCCCCTCCAGTGCACTTCACTGCCTCTCTATCTACACCCCTACCTCCGGCTCTAAGACTTTTACACAACCGGGACACTTCTTTTGGTGTAATGGCAGCCTTTTCAACTCACTGCCTCTCAACTCCGATACACCCTGCATTCTCGTCACCCTAATCCCACAGCTTACACTTTACAGCATGGCAGAATTCCTTGAGCTCCAACCTCCCTTGCACTCGCGCACAAAAAGGGCTGCTTTCCTTCCCATCATGGTCGGTATCTCTTTAATCACCTCAGCCATTGGGGTGGGGTTTTCAGGAGGAGCCTTGGGTCACTCTCTATGGGCAGTTAGAGATCTCGACGCCAAACTTGAGGGAGCCCTGGCATCCACTGCCGATTCCCTAGCCTCTCTCCAAAGACAAGTCACTTCGCTAGCTAAAGTCACCCTTCAAAACCGGCGGGCCCTAGATCTGCTTACAGCCGAGAAGGGCGGCACCTGCGTCTTCCTCCAGGAAGAGTGCTGCTATTACATCAACGAATCCGGCATTGTAGAAACTGACATCACCAAACTCACTGACCTTGCCTCCAGCCTCCACTCTGCTTCCAATTCCAACCCATTCTCGTCAATACTAACAAACCCCCTCCTCACCTGGCTCTGGCCCATTGCAGGCCCCATAATAGTCATTCTTCTCGCCTGTCTCTTCTTACCCTGTATAATAAAGTTCATCAAATCCCAAGTCGGAAAAATCTCTAATCAAGCTTTCAACCAGCTTTTACTCAGGAACTACCAGCTTCTGGCCACAGAAGATCCCTCACCCTCACGTGACCTCCTCACCACACGCTGAGAGGGACCCCTCTCTCCACTGGAAACTGCTCCTGGAAACAATGGCCGCAGACGCCTGGCTTCTGGCACCCATATCCTCTTGGCACCATTGGAATCAACAGGTCCTCAACCTATGGTTACAGGGAACCTTCATTGATTTCCAACCTGAAGAAGTTCACATCTACTCATCCTTACTGTGGGGAGTCCTATCAACCCTTTCCTCCCAGTCCTCAAGCCCTCACTCCCTTCTCCACCCCCGTTCAGCAGGAAGCAGCCAGAGAGAAAGCAACGTCCACAACCCCGTAGAGGAGAAAGGGGGGAATGAAGGGCCCCCACCCGTAAGATGGCGAACTCACCCCTCACCCCCCCCCTAATCCCAGCACCCAGCCAATAGCCACCAGCCCCGTAGAAGTGACACCACAATCACCCCATGCCCCTTCCTATATAACCCAGCACCTTTCCCTAATAAAGCGGAATTCTCCGGTGAATTGCTGCTGTGTCGCTCCTTTCCTTTCAGTCCCCAAATCCGCACGACTCACTCCGCACCTCGGGCCAGGAACTGCCGCCCCGCTTTCGGAAGCCCGTCTCACTCGCCCCTTCTCTGCCGTCCGCTCCCTTCCTGCCTCCCATGTGGCACTGTTTCCTTCCCTGCCCTCTGACGGGTTTGCCCCACGGTCATCAGAACGTGACACCAGGACTCAGACACCACCTGGGGGCTTGGCCTGTACGGCCGCCCACCACACACCGGTGCCGGCCAGTGCCCCACGCGCCCAGGCCCGGCCGCAGCTGCCCGCGAAGCCTTCCACGGGCTCCCAGGCGACCCTCCCTCTGCCCCCTACCACACTGCTCCGAAGTGCCCGCTTTCCTCAGGCCCCCACCTAGTCCTCTTCCTCAGCTGTCTGCTAGATCACAAGAAAACGAGAACTCCTAGTAAGTACTCTGCCCCATCCCGGCAGCTTCTGCCATCCTCCTCCCCGTAAACTGACCAGCGCTGCACCCCGCTACCTCTTTCCCTGTGGAACTAGTGGCAGAAGTGAAGGCGGGTCCAGCAAGCGCTCCCTGGGCTGCCCTTCTCCCGAGGGCCCCTCCCTCTGTACCAATGCGCTCTGGCTTCTCTATGCTGCTCCCCAGACACGTGCTCACGCTCTTCTCACCTGGAAGGCCTTTCTAGACAGACCCCTCACTACTGCACAGGCGTGTCCCGGTCCCTATGTCCCCAGCCAAGCTTACAGAAGATACACATCTCTTACATCTGCTGACTTACTGCTTCCGTATCACCTCCTCTGGCTCCTGCAACCTGCCCTAGGGTCCCAGCGAAACAGCTCCTGCCCAGCTCATCAGTGACCGAGGGGCCCTCCAGACACCCCCCGACCTCTGCTGCACTGGCGCCTGTCCAGCACTTGCCTCCACTTTTCCCTTCTTGGTTCCAATGATAATACTCACTTATCTAATTCGGAGAGAACAGCATGAACGTTGGCGCCCGGGAGGCCAAGATCCCACTGCGGCTCCACCAGCTCTGCTCTCCCCACCCACAACTGCCCGGCACCTGCGCACCCACATCCCAGGCCTCGTCACCTGCCCCCCAGAACCCACCCAGTTCAGCCAGTCTGAAGGGCACGGCACCACTCCACGCAGGAACCTGGGCTTCTCCTCCAGGCTTCCCTCCCAGGGCTTGCCCACCCAGAGCCACCGAGTCCTGCTCGCCTCTGTATCCCCTCTGCCAGAGCTTCACTCTTCCCTGGGCCTCCTGAAACCCTAACAGGCCTCACTGCCGCCACCCCTCCCCCTTGGACTGGTGCTCCACACACAGCAGAGAGACCCCCTGAAATACAAGCCCAAACCTTCAAAGGCCTCCGGGACCTGGTCCTGCCTACCTGCCCAGCTTCGTTTTTACCCTCCCTCCTGACGCACTAGCCTGTAGCCACATTCAACTGGTTTCAGTTCTCTGGGTCTCTTAATGTGCCATCTCTATGCTTTCATCCATTGCTCCCTTTGCTAAAATTTCCTTTCTCACCTACTGCACCTGGATGATACCTACTCAGCTCTCAACCTTCAGCTCAAATGTTCCTCTTGCAAGAGTGGCGGTGTTCCCAGCACGGACCGTCACCCCTGCACGTTGTCCACAGCAAGCCGAGGACTTCATCATGCACTGCATCTCACGTGTGGCATGTGTCTGCTGAGCTACATAAGCCCCTTCCCAGGCTGGGACAGGCCTTATCTATATTCCTAACCCCGGTCGTGGTAATTTGCATAGAGTTGCTATTCAATAAGTGTTAGATTAATTGATTGAGTCATTATTAAAAAGGAATAGCAAAATGGCCACTATCCCAAACAGAACGTGGTTGCAACAGCCATTGACCGCTCTTCTCCATGTTGAACGAGATGGGCCAAATTAACTCAGGCTTACACTCACACCCTGGCATGAAGACCTCCTTTCAGAGCCAAATAGCACTCTAAACTCGCAACCAAGCGAAGAGGGTTGAATGGTGAAGGACCTGCTTCCCGACGTGTCCCCTCTTCCCTGCAGGGACCGCCCTGTTGGCGGGCAGCAGCACTGTGGCTGATGCCATGGCCTTTACTTAGCTGTGGCCTTTGACCCTGGCTGGCTCCCTTCATGGCCATGGCTGCCCAGCCAACCCTAAAGCACGGACCTTGCCCATCTCTGCCTCACCTGGTCTTTCCTCTCCCTCTGAAGTGAAGCCTTCTTGATGATAAGCAGCCTGCAAACAGATCTTACATTCCCAAGGAGTGGAAAATAGGCTGAACACTTGGAAAAAGAACACTTGAAAGAAATGTTCGTTTTTAGCCAAATACACACTTATCTGAGGACCACTTAACAATAGATGGAGAGGTGCCCGGAGCACTTTCCTTTTTTACTAACTTATAATGTTCAGATCTCTAGTTCCTACCCAGCATCAAAGAGTTAGGATGCCACCACCTGAAATAATACCACACATCCTCAAAAACGATTTCCAATTCCAGGTTGTCAGGGGTTCTAGAAAGCTAGCCTGGCCTGTGTACAAAGGCCAGGTATTCAGGACTTAATATGGGGTTGGATCTAGTGTCCTGCCTTCTAGCTTTACGGCCTTGGCCAGGCCACATACCCTCCCTGGCAGAGTCCTCATCTTCGTGTGGAGATAATGATGTCCCTGCCCAATATATGCAGGGCAGTTAGGAAAATGCCTGGCAGGAAACAAGCTCTCCAGATCCGAGCCTAGCATGACAGTCATTACTTTGTGGCATTATCATGGGCTTCAGGTGAGATAATGTATTCAAAGCACTGGAACAGCAGATGGCCCACACATGGCTGGTACGGTCGTCACTTCTAAAGGCGCAGCAGAAGCCAGTGGCGATGATCTTAAATGCATGTGAGTATTACAGAACTCTAGATGGACAATCTCAACACAACATGCCTCCCCAGAAGTGGGAGGAACAGGTGTACTTGAAGTTACAGACACGGAAGGTGAATGGGACATGCCAAGGGAGAGGGCGGACAGAGCAGAGAGCCTCAGGGTACAGTATGGGGGTTAGAGCGGAGATTCGGGGTGGGGCCCAGGGCTTAGGGAAGAAGAGGGGCCGGCTGAGGGCGGGAAGAGCCTGGGTCTGAGGCTGTGACAGGAAAGACACGAGAGAGAGACCACCCTCCGGATGCTGAGTACAGAACGAGGCCCGCAGCACTGGCTGGAAAGACGAGGCAGCAAGAATGACTTTCTAAGGTCACAGGTGGGGACACTGGCCAAGGCGCTGCCAGGTACCTGGGTTTTGGCTGAAAGGTGCTCAATATCTAAACAGAAAACACCCAACTCCTCCAGATCCCAAAGGGACAAGAAATTAGGGACAGTTTTCTAACCTGGAACTGGAGAGTGGAAGACATCGGGACTTGACAGAAGGACTTTATCTAAGGGTCAGGACCAGGGCAAAGGCCGGCCAACTAAACGGGAGCCGGTGGGTACCAGACGGTGAGACGGCAGGCGGGAAGAGCAAGGGCTGTCACTGTGACCTCTGGCGAATGAAGGGGGTGCAGCTCCCTAAGCTGAGGCAAAGCTAGCCAGCCACGAGAGCATCACCCCTGTAGCCCATTCACATCGGACACTCACTGAGCGCTGCCTAGTGCGCACCTCCCGGAGGCTCAGAGGGTGACGGGAAGGCCGGTCTCCCGGTGACGGCAAGAAGGAGTCCCACCTCCTCCTCTTGGGTAGGGGTGGTAAAGAATAAAATGTAGGGCCACTCAGGGGGTAAGACAGGGTCTCGCCCCATTTGACAAATAAGTCCCTGGGGCTTCTCTAAGATGAAGAGGAGAAAAAGAAATGTCTCATGTTTTCCCACAGTTTGGGTGGGGAGAACTAACAAAAGCAAAACCGAAAAAATCCTGGGAGGAAATAATCCTCCCTCCCGTTTTGCTATCTTAAAAAACGATTTCATATGTCTGAGTCTTTAATTTAGAGAGACTGCCTGGCCGCTTCCCTCTCCGGTGTGAAAGCCCCTCATCTCACTGGCAGCCGCTCAGCCAGAGGCAGGCGAGCGAGCGGCGAGGAGAGCCCGCAGCAGGAACGGGGCTGGCGAACCCTCTCCTGCCGCACACGGTTCCCGGGCAGGCCCGGCTTCAGCCACCTCTGGGGACAGGCTTCCCGAGGAAGGGGGTACCTACCGGCGCAGTCCTCCAGGGAGCACGGAGAGGCCTCCGAGGGCGTCCCAGGGCAGCCAGGTCTGGAGGGGAAGGGGCTCAGGCACGTGCGGCGACGCTCTCGGACGCCGTCCCCACACGTGGCACTACACTGGCTCCACGGCTGCCACAGTCCCCAAGTCTCTGCAAGGACATTAGCCACGCTTTAAATGACTGTAGTGCATCGGAGAATCCGAATTTAACTGCGCCCAAATGAAACAGCAAAACTCAAACCTCAGGCCTGGAAAAGTGAGTAAGTGAAAATATTTCCAAAGATGTGGGAAGCTGGAAAGAGCGTTGCTTCTTCCCATAAAAAAATGGAAAGCTGTATAATCTACAAAATATTAACCTTTCTAGAACCCATCAGAGAGATAAGGGCACAGGGCAACCAAATGGCCTAAAAGAAAAAGAAAAAGTTTCTCCAAGGAAAGGCAGGACGGAAACGTTGTTTCCTGGGGCAAATACCAGGCCCCATATACGCTGGTGACAAAAGTCATCTAAAAAGTGTATCTGAATTGCTAACATCCTAGTGTGGACTAGGATAAGAATATAGGAACTCTGGGAGCCATTCAGGAATCTGTACCCACCTGCAGGCTCTTTATAAATCTCACCGGATGCTCACAAGAAGGAATGAGGGCAGCTGCAAGAGCAGAGAAAGCCTCATGGTGGGTGCCTAGGGGAAAGGTGCAAATCTCACCCAGATCCTCCTCCCCATCTGCTCTATCAACAAAAAATCTCAACCACTGGAGACCAAGCGGAAAGCCCTGTCACTCTAAGAGAACCATTTGAGACTCAGTGTTGCTAGGGAATGGAGAAACAAGAAAATCCTTCACCCCTGGAAAGGAGCAGAAAATATCTGGGGTCCAGACTGCTAGAGAGCTTCCACCACGGGAGAAGGGCAGGACCGTCGGCAGGGCCCCATCCTTGAGGCTCAGAGGCACAGAACTTGCCTACCGCTAAGGCAGAAGTAAAACAAGGGGATGCCCCATCCCATCACACAACAGCCCCCTCCATGCTGGCAATTACCAAGTATCGAGTAACAAGTTTACTGCCAGGACAGGGGAAAGAGGGACAGGTGAAAACCTCTCTAATGGGCAGGTCCGAAGCCAAAGATGCAACGCAAGTGTGGAGAAAAACCTTCTTGCAACCCAACTCCTATCCTAAACACAAAGGGACGTTAGACAATTTTGAACTCTCATGCCCTGAGGGCAGCCATAGCAACAGCAAAAACCCAAACACAGCTCAACTCCATACTCCACTGACCAAATCCCGGCGCCTAAGTCCTACCAAAAGTGGGATATGCCCCTTCCCAGGTAGTGACACCATTTATTGGTGTCTGCAGTTCTAAATGAGACGTCTGCCTTTCAACCAAAATCATCAGACACACAAAAAAGCAAGAAAACACAATAAACTATTAATTAACTAAGTAATCAAGAGAACCAGACTCAGATGTGACTCAGATATTGGAACTTTCAGAAAGAAAAGTCAAAATAACTATGATTAATATGTTAAAGACTTAAGTGGGAAAGGTGAGCAAGATGCATAAACAGATGGAAAATTTCATCAGAGTTGTGTAAATTAAAAAGAGGCAAATGGAATGCCAGAAATGGAAAACACAGTAACAGGAGTGAAGAATACTGTCCAGAGGCCCATCAGTAGACCTGACAAAGCTGAGGAAAGAAACAGTGAATTTGGATATAAGTCGACAGAAATCACCCAAACAGGGACACAAAGAGAGGAAAAAAGGGTGAATAAAATGTAATAAAATACCCAAGAGCTGTGGGACAATATCAAGTCATTTCTCATCAATGTTATTAGAATGCCAGAAGAGAAAAAGAGAATAATGTCCAATAATTCTTCAAAAATAATGAAAGACACCAAACTACATCCATTATGCTCAGAAAACACTAAGCAGAATACAAAAAAAGAAAATAAATGAAAAACTTAGATATTCCAATTCAAACTGCTAAAAAAACAGCAGAAAACTGAGGGCTGTGGCAGGAAGGAAGGGGGAAGGCGGGAATATGTTGTACACAGACTAAAGATGAGAATTATAGCAGACTTCTTGTCACGTAAGCCAAGGATAATGGAATGGTATCTCTAAAGTATTGAAAGAAAAAATGACCAACCCAGAATTCCGTATACGGTGAAAATACCTTTCAAAAATGAGGGAGAAATAAAGACTTTTTCAAACAAAAACTAATAAGAGTTAATTAGCAGCAGATCTTCGTTCTAAGAAATGTGAAAGGAAAATCCTTCAGGCAGAAGGAATATGATACCAGACAAAAACTTGCATCTGTGTAAATGAAGAGTGCTAGAAATGGCATTTATAAAGGCGAAGGTAAAGTTAACTTTTTATTTTTAAATGCTCTAAAATATAATTGGTGGTCTAAAGTAAAATAGTAGCAATGTATTATGACAATCACACAAAGAACGGGAGGAATGAACTGGGAGTATACTGTTATAAATTCCTTATGCTACATTTGAAGCAAAAATTATCATTTGAAGATAGACTGAGAGTAACAAAAGATGTATATTGTAGACACTAGGACAACCACTAAAAACCATTTTAAGATATAAATAAACCAACAGTGTCAAGTAAGTCATAGAAAAATCACAAAAAATTAATACAAAAGTCAGAAAAAAGGAAAAAGAAATTTATGGACTAAATATAAAACCATGAAGATGGTAGAGCTTAATCCAACCATATAATGATTACACTTAATATAAATAATCTAAACATGCCAATTAAAAGACATCGATTATGAGACTAAATAAAAAAGCATGACTCAATTATATGCTGTTTAAAGGAAAATCACAAAAAAAGTAGGTTAAAACTGAAAGGATCTAAGAAGTTATACCTCGTGAACATTAATCCAAAGAAAACTGGAGCGGCTACATTAATATCAGACAACGTCGACCACAGAGCAGGGACCACTACCAGCAACAAGGAGGGACATTACATAATGGAAACAGTCACTCCAGCAAGAACCCTAGACGGGGATGCACCGAATATCAGAGCTTCAAAACACATACAAACGCTCCCAGAGCAGCCATGACTGACTGGTAAATGCACACTTCTCTTCCAAGCACATATGCAGTCGCTGCCAGGTAGGGTAACTGAATAGTCCCCTACAAAAAGTTACCTAAGACCCTCTCCACCAGCCCAGCCCAGGACTGTCAGGTCATGCCGACACAAGGCACCAGAACACCCCCCCTGCATAAACATCTCTCCTCATCCTTTATGGACAAAACTCACAATGCAGCAAGGGCATACGCAGCGCCATGAAGGCCTAAGGAGAACGTGCCGGGCAGATACACGCTCAGTGAGCCAAGCGGTGCGATCTGTGGAGTGAGTCATGGAACATGAGTTCTCCACAGGAATTAAAAGTCTCTGAGATCCTCACAGGGTGGGAGCGTTACAGAGGAGTATCCTGGACCAGCGTCAACTGAAGCGCGGTAATCATGTTCCATCCAGAGGTCCAGCTGGACACAATACTGGCTCTGTGTCCCCCAGATCACAGGGCTGCTCCTCACAGGGCAGGACAGTGAGCTGGCTTACCCTCCAGCCCCAGAGCTGTGCCAACACTAAGCCCCCAGTGCCTGCAAAGCTTTGGGGCTCTCACATTAAAGTCTCTCTGAGTTACCATGTTGATTTATTTTGAAAAAATTCTGGGAATTACTGGGAAATCTACTACTGTGAAATCTACATTGAAAATTCAGTCACTGTATAGTTTATCCTCTCTTGTGCTCACATTTAAGACCACAAAGGTGGAATTCCAAAAGCTAAGAATCCTTTTTGTTATTCTTTCTTAGCTCCTATTTTACTTTACAGAAATAGGAGTATGTAAATAAAGTTACTTGTCAAACTAAAAACATAAATTCCATTAGCAGGGGCCAGAAAAACTGAAAAGTTTAACAAAAGCTTGAATCTTGATGTCAAAAATATCAAATGTTGAGTTCTTTTCCCTTGAAAGTAAAATCATGGCTTGCAGGGCAATCAACTTAAAAAAAAATTTTAACTTACGTTTCATGTCTTATTTTTACACAAATTAATCAAACAAGACACAGGAAATGACCTAAATAAAGCAATAAAGAAATTGAATTTTAAAAAAACACAAAATTTAAAAATGCCTTAAGTAACTCAACTTGTTTCCTGAGGATTTTTACTAACAACTTTGACAGACATATTTGGCAAAATGGGAAGCCACTAGATAACCACTGTTCGCGTATTAGAATGAAGAGCAAGATGACCAGTGTTCCAAATAGTCTTACTTCACGAATGCACAGCTGTTTTGTTTTGTCCTGGTTAGATGTCCACACAGGCACTTACACTACATAACAAGCCTGTCTGGCCAGTAAAAATGCCTTTCAGGCCACTCTAGAGAACATGAATTCTGAATGAGCGAAATTTGTCTGGACTAGGAAAAGGGACATTTCCTTCCACCCCCAAGGCTATCTGAAGGAAGACAGCATATGAAATATTCACATCTGCAAGACATTTTGCTCAAGAGACAAAGTTAACTGACAAAATACGCTTATAAGAAAATTCTACAAAAAGAGCAAAAACAGTGGATAAGCAGATGGGATTTTCTGTGAGCAAAACAAGGCTCGTTTTTAGTAGCACATCTTCCTTCCGCCTGGCCCAGCGGGCTCCAGAGTGGGTCACATGTCTTTCAAACAAGATGAACCAGTGAGACGAGGAGGAAAACACTGAAACTTTTCTTTTTATCTAAAAGCTTTCTATTATTTAATATATGGATAGACAATTGACTGTAGAGAACAGTGCTAGAAGCAACCCCAAAGCCAGTCTAACTACCACTGACCTTGGGCAAGTTACTTGATCTTTCTGTGCCTCTTTCTTCACCTATAAAATTGACAATATGATAAACTTCACTAGGGTTGTTCTGAAGATTAAATGGGTTAATATTCATAAAGCGCTTAGAAGAGTGTCTGGTGCAAAGTAATCACTAAGTAAATGTTAGCTTCGTTATGTCAGATGGTCACATACAGTACGTCAGATTGTCCTAAGGTAATCCCAAAGGACAAGCGGGGTTCCATTAGGTGGGAGGGTTTACTGGTTAATTCACTTTTGGAGAATCGTGGAGTATTAAAGCATCCATGGGTCTGCTTATGTGAATTTTAAAATTATATTTTCTAGTTTTGGATGAACTCACTCACAAAATAGACAAGTGGTTTAAAAAGACTCCAGCAAAGAATTAAAAACACTGTTTGTGCAAGCACCTGTAAATCAGAAGAAACCAGCGGGGGTGATTCCTGGCAAAACGTACTAGTACTTTGGTAAAAGGCTCCCATTCAACTACACTATGAAGGAAAAGAAAGATCATGTAATCAGAGAAATAGTTACGTGGCTATAAAATTTAAATTATCAAGAAAACTGTATGTTAAATAGACACAATTTTTATTTGTTAAGAAAAACTAAAATAAAAACTATGTGAATACGGATATATATCCTTTATCATTAGAAAATTCTCAACCTGTATATGTACTTTCTGCTTCGAGATGCAGGCTCATAGTCCCTTATCTGAAAAGCCTGGGACAGATGTATTCAGCATTGAGAATGTCTCAGTTTAGGTTTTTTCGAGTTACCGGGATACCTGTAACCATGTATTACTGACACTCCCCTAGCAGAGCCTCAGCCCCCGTAACCAGACGCAGTAACAGCTCTGCAGAGAGAAAGATAAACATTCACACTAATAGGATAAGATCACAAATTGTCACTTTCGGCACCATCTATTATGTATTTGCTGTAAACTGTTTACATGCTTTCTTCAGACCCTGAGGAGACAAAAAACCCACAGGACCTGTGGCTTGCTGTTCATGGGAGCTGATGGCGAGGAAGGAGGCTCCCGGGTTCCTGGCCTGAACCACTGACCGGCGGGGAGCCCAGCGCTGAGGAGCAAGTTCAGGGATAAGATGATGGGTCCAACTCCAGGCACGGCGCTTTTGAGGTGCGTGGGGACGCCCGAGGGGTGACAGCCGTTTGGCTCACTTGGATGCAGAGCGGAGATGCCAGCCTGGAGTCGTCAGCACCAGGAGAGTAATCGCCTGGCAAGCGTGTGAAGAGCAGAGAGTGCAGAAGCCTAGCACCTCCGGGGTGAGATGAGGCGCGGGTCACACAGGCGAAGGAGACCACGGAGGAACAGCCGGGAGAGGGAAATCGGGGCGTGTGAGGTCGCAGGATCAAGGCCGAGGAAGGTAAGGACTGCAGTGTCCCCAGATTTGGGGACTTGGAAGCCATCTGCTGGCTGCTGTGGCAAGAGCACGTTCAGGGAGGGATAGGGGTTTGCAGTGGGTTGAAAAGTGCACGGCACGGAAATGAGCACCTAAGTGTGGCGACCTTTCCAAGAATATGGGGAGTAAGAGAGAGAAAGGGTATTATCTGAGGGACAAGTAGGGGCTGAGGGGTGGTTTTTGTTTTGATTTTAGATAAGAGAATTAAGTACCTTTCCGAGCTGATGGGAATGAGCCAGTAAAGGGACAGCTGGGGACAGAGGAGAGAGAGGACAGTGACTGACAGGACAGTGACTGACAGACAGGAGGCTCCTGGGACGGGCAGACGGGCTGGGGTCCACGCGGAGGAGAGGGCTGACCCTGCGCTGGAAGGTGACACCTCTCCCGTGCGAAAGCAGGAGGCGGACAGACCGGACCAGTGCCTGCAGGCTCACTGGTACTTTCACCAGAGGGGGGTGAGGGAGCCTTCCGGCAGCTCCTGGCTACTTAGCATGGCAGGCGGCACAGGCAGCTCGGAGGGTTAGTGGGGGGCAGGTGGCGAGGCCCACGGGCAGCGGAGGAGGCCAGAGAGAGCTGCTGTGGAGCGGGAGCCTGTGCGGTCAGCGCACCTCGCTGGGCAGCATGGTGGGTCCGGCTCCAGCTGGAGGCCTGATCCAGCCCCAGGGCCCCTGTCCGCCTGGGTGGGACCTTCTCCCAGGTGGCTGGCAGACTGCGAGGTCCACACAGAGCTGGAGCACAAAGGACAGCAGGGCCGAGGAGTTTGGGGTGTTGGTGGCAGAGTGACCAGAGGGGTGGGCCGTGGAGTCCAGGCTGGGCAGACAGGTAAGTGTGGCAGGGAAGAGGCCAGTGGGGGTGGGGGGGAGTCACAGGAAAGGACTTCTTCTAAAGAAAGGAGGTGGTAAGCTTGGGAGCAAGAGACACTTGGGGTCACAAAGATGGTCAGAGGCACAGGGGGCACAAGGCTCAGTGGGGACAAAGACGTGAATGAACCAGACAGGCCCCGCCAGATTAACCTGCTGCCAAGACCGAGCCACACCCGGGAAACGGGGAAGAAATGCAAGGAGGAGCATGGGGGAAGGCGGAGTAACAATAACCCCACTTCTCTGGGATCACATAGGGCATTACACAAAGAATTCGGTACTGGAAGAAGTTTTTAGAAATCTTGCTTTGAAATCTCACTAAGGAAGCTTCATCCCTACAATGAGTGACAACAGAAAGACACACGCTCAGCTCGAGGAAGCCAGAAGGTACCAAATACAATTTGAGAGTTGGCTTTGAATTCTGATCACGTCTGCCACTGACGTGCCACACGAGCTAATAAGTTTTTAAATACAATGAAATAATAGCTAACGCCTACTGGGGCTTCCTATATGCCGGGCAGGATGCCGAGAACCACACGTGTCTATTTCATTCAGTTCTCACAGCTGACACAGATCCTCTTTTTACTGTGCCCATTATACTGACAGGGCAACTCAGACCAAGAGAGTTTAAGCATGTGGTGAGCTGGGGCTGTTTGCCGGTCCTCCTAATTTTTCAGGTAAGGATGATAATGTCATCTGGGACATTATGAGGACTGAGCCGTAACAATGATGGAACAGTTCGTAGAATTAAGTTCACCTAAATTCAAAATAATACGTTTCACTGCAGGAAGGCACAATGTGATGAAAACATTTTTTAAATCTCGGTACCAACCTATGTTTCTCTGGATGAGCGTGCAGTCCGTGTCCTTCGGGGGAACCTGGCTCCCACTCGCAGCGCCGAAGCTGAAGCAGTACTTATTCCTCCCCACGTCGAACAGGGCGCAGCTGAACACGGCTGTCCTCTCCCCCTCGGCCAGGCCGCGCTCAGCCAGCCTCGCGCTCCTCTCCCCGGGCCGCCCGGGGGCCTCCTTGAAGACGGCGACCACCCCGTGCGCCGGGATGCAGGGCGGGGGCAGCACCGCTACCTCCAGGCTGGACTCGCACGTCACTTCGGGCGCCAGCACCAGCTCGTAGCCGAATCTCTGGGCCAGGCCGACGGGGCCGCTGGCGGCGATGACCGAGTCCCGGCCGAACAGCCTCAGCACAACGGTGACGCGGGCTTCTGGCCCCACGGGCGCGCAGCCGAACTCAACCCACTGCCCTGCAGAGAGCTGCGTCCTCCTGCGGGCCCTGACCTCCAGGGGCGGCCCCGGGCCCGCTCTCGCCTCGGGGCGGCTGTCGGCGAGCACGACGTCCACCAGGAGGTCAGGCTTGTCCGCGGGGAAGGCGCACAGCGCCTGGCTGGTGAAAAGGCCCACCTGGAAGGCGCCGCCTGCCGCCCTGGAGGTCCTGTTCAGGGCAACGCGGAAGGCGGGCCACTCCGCCTTCAGAAGGGCCCTCCCCGTCGGGGCTGGGCCGCCGCCGCCGGTCCCGCCCGGGGCCGTGGCGAACCAGTAGTCTCCCGCCGCCCGGAAGTGGAAGCACTCGAAGTCCAGCGTCCCCTGGGGCTGGCTGGTCGGGAGGTGCTTGGTGGCGAGGGTCCGGTTGGTGCCGGCTTCCAGCAGCAGGACGGACACGTTCCTCCGCGTCGCGTTGGCGGCGCCGAGATACTGGAAGCCCAGATGCACCGTGGCGTTGCTGAGAGCTACGTGGCCCGGCCCTGCCAAGAGCAGGTAGTCGGCTTCTCCCAGCACTGAAACGAAATGGTCAGAACGGACTTGAAAAAGGGTATGTGAGCAGCGCCGTCGGTGACGGCGAGGACAGCAGCGTTTCAGACACAGAGACGTTTGAACAGGGCCAAGGCTGCTGCCCAGTGAGGCCGAGTGTGGGTCCTGGGGGCTGGGCCCTGCACGCTGCCTGCACCTGCTCTCTGGCCACGTTTGACATGACGGATTAGTGCCAAATACTCACAACATTCACCAGTGTGCCTGCCACGGAAATCTATACCGCAAGGCCACAATGGACAATTCACAAGGTAAGAAGCCAACACCTCTTTGCTCATTTGAATCACATTCAGGTGCTTAAACATTTAAATGGAGGACATGGATGCACAGTGAGGTGAGAGAACACTTGATTTAAATGCTACACTACAAACGACTGTGCATTACCTAAAATGGAAGACCCTAATTATACTTCAGAGTTTTCATTTTCTGATATTTAAGTACTTATTTCCACCAGCCAAGGAACCAGTACCCCTGGTATGTTCGAGGCAGAATTTTGTAGATGAGTAAGGAATGGTAACACCTATTGTGCATGTGCCAGCCAAGGGCTGGAGTGGATGTCTATGGCACAGCCAGTGTTGATGCCACTGCAGCAGCTGCTCTCACAGGACAGGACCATGACTGCGGGCCTGCAGGGGTCACTTGGTTAGGATCAATCGTGTTTTTTTGAAAGAAACCCATCAGAGTGGCTGAAGTAAAGGGTGTAAAAAGCACAGACACAGGCATCCTTGTTTCTATTCTGAACCTTATCCAAGGACATATCCAAGGAGCCAGAACTGGGCAACACCACAATCAGCTGCCTGTGGCAGAGGGCAAGTCTGGATTTAAGGCACTGCTGGCCTTTTTGGCTTAAAAAACACATGAAAGTGTGACTTCATTATTATTATATATGCACCGCATATGTACATTATATATACAGATCACATCACATGTATGTCCAGAGGGGCTCATGCGGTGTTTGGGTTGGTATTCTTTAAACATATCATTATGTGTATTCAGTCAATTATTAGACCCAGCCCATGAATATACTGGCACATAGAGTTATTTTTAATTAGCTCACACTTCACCCATTTCTTATTTAAGATGAGGTAAAATAAAACATGTAAAATTTGCATGGACCTTGATACTTGATCACCACTTGCTTAAAAACTGTGACAGGATAAAGTTGGTTTTTTCATTTAGTAGAAATAGAAGCTGAGGGATACCCTTTTGGACAGATGTAACTCAAGGTTAAGGAAGGGGGCTAATTACGGTGCATCTCGGGAGCAGGTGCGGAGCTGACCTGGTACCATTTTGTGAACAGGTGGCTAAGAGACTCCAGCACCCACGACGGCCAAGGGAGGAGCTAGGACTGAGAAGAAAGGTCCGGCTGACTGGCATCTGATGGGGCCGGAGGAGTCTGTGCTGTATTTCAAGACTGAGCAGCACACACCACTTAGTCAGCCAGCGAAAGCCCGCTGTCAGGGCGGGGACTGTCAGTGAGGCCGACCAGATTCTGATCTGATGGGCAGCCAATCAATTAAAGACACACAGACCCAGCTGGAACTGGAAAAAACATGAACAGTCAAGTTCCAAGCCCTGCAGAGAGAAGATGCAAGCAAAAGAGAGCGCTTTAAAGTTTACCACAGATCGCTTTTTTTACGGACAAGAATACATTCTCATTTAGAACACTACAATTTGGTTTTACCACATTCTAATTACTACTACATTTTAATTCTCTCTGTTCTTTCATTTTCTCTCTCCTCACTCCTTTATTATATTTAAATTAATAAGCGTCTCAATATAAGCAAGCTGTTTTTAAAAAACAAAAAAACCTAACGGGTAATAGCAGACTTTGATCAATATCTAATGGAGATGAAGAGGGGGAAAAAACACGCAGATCTATAAAAACACCTCCTGTTCAATAAGCTTGGGCACCCAACCTCTATGCTCTACCTTACGCTCGGTCAACTTTTATGCTTACATGTCAGTAAGACACGGTGCTTTCAACAATGACAAACATCCTTGCAGACTTTAAGTGGAAAATTCTGATGTTTTTATTTATCATTATGAAACTAAGGACACGTTTATAATTTATGTGGCTGAGCAGAGCAGATCTGCTTTTACACACAGAGCAATCTACTTTCAAGCAGCAATAAAAGACTTTAAAAGAAATGAATCCCAAATTGGTTTCCAGTGAATCGAGTATCTTCTTGTTAAATAAACTTAAAAAGACTGAGGCAGGAGATTCACTGGGCAAAATGAACCATACACACACTGGCCCATTTAAGTGGCTGTGTCACTGATACACAAGAGCCAGGATTCTCTATCTCTTGGATCACAATTTTTCATCAATTTGAAAACAATCTCCACTCTCATACCATCAACTGCTTTGATGTCTATGAAATACCGGGAAATCTCCAAAAGAAAAGCAGTGAGTATTATATTGTTGAATTTATTGGGGCAGTAGCTGCATTAAAACTGAGTAATAAACTTAATTTTCAGTGAAACCTACTGAATGAAGCAGAGTAACGTTAAGCACCTGTCATATGGCTCAGACATTCAAGGTGTTTCACATTTTTTATTTTATTGTATCATCACAACCCTTGAAGTCAATATTATTTGCTAAGGTTTAAAGAGATTAAGAAGCTTGCCTAAGGCGCAGAGCCAGCAAGGATCACATCCCCATCGGTTCCAAAGATATTCTGGCAGCAAAACTCTCAAGTGAAATCTTATGTAGATTCCGAATATATAAGACATCATTTCACGTGCATGTGAGTGGAGTTTAAATGTATAATACTGAATTACTAGGAAATCAGTGAGAACTCGGATCACATGCTTGTCTCCAGTGGGTTAAAATGAAAGTGAATTGTTTCTGTTATCTTTTTAAAGACTGAAAAATACACTTAAAAAATTAATATTCTACAATAACATAGAACCCTAAGAGAACTCAGGATCACGAGGATCACAGTTCAGAAGGCAGCGCACTGTGGGTCCTGCCCTGCCTCCGCGGTGCAGGGTCCTCCACGTCAGCACGCTTACAGACCTCACGTTTATGTTCCTTCACTGATACCTGCTGCATTGAGTGAACTTAACAGTACTCACCATAGTCACAAAGCACCACCATCAATAGATTTGAAAAGTCTTTCAACATTTGTTTCATTCTGATCAGCAGAATCCAGGGTCCTCCGTCTCCTCATGACCTTTCCTACATCCAAATTGCAAGTTGTTTTTTTTTCCAAAAACACCTGAAATCAGAATTTCAAAAAGTGATCTCCTTGTTAACGTGATTCATAAAACAATAATCATGAAATGACAAAACCATTCTAAGAAGTCAAACTTCCTAGGCGATACTGAAAAGAAACTATGAGCCCCCCTCAACTTCCCTGGGAAAATGACCTGTACCTGTGCGTGCCCCCCTTGCCCTGTTATAGCTCACCTGCTCTGAACTATGGGGCACACCCAACGCCAGGTCATCTTTGTGAAACACCAAGTCACCTATCTCTATAACACATCCTTTGGTGGAAAGTTTGTAGTTGCTTAATTTCACCAAAACTAATAGCCAATCTGGGTAATACATATTCATATACATATGTATCTGCTTGGCATTTCACACTGATCAATTTGCTATACTTTCACCTAAATTTCATTTTGCATTGTGCTGTGTAGACCATTAACACTGTCTTTCTTGCACAACTGACACGTTATTTGGATTGCTTCTTAACACCTGGGAGCTCTACCCAAATTACCAATGCTTTAAAAAGATACCCAGAGCACTGCCCACAATAAAATGTGGGCTCCATGTGACCCTACTTCCCTGGTTTAGGGCACTCTACAGAGAAAATAGGTAAGTAACAAGTATCTTCTGCCAACCTCCCAGTATCTGCTGCCAGTATGCATCAGGCAGTTAGATGATTTCATGCAGCAATCTTCCCAGACCTCCTGGCAGGGGCAGGAAAGACTGCTGGCCTGTGCCTCAGAATGCCTTGTGGGAGGAGGCACCTACTTTGACATAAATAAACCATTAGATTACAGGATAAATACAGGGCACTTTACAGGGCACTTAGTGTCAGATTTTTTCATACTAGAGTCTAGGGAACTAGGGGTTACTAAACATAGCCAAATACCTACTTTCTTATGTTTACATTCCCCTCGTAATCCACAGTTAATGTGTTTTAATAAGTATATTATATCCCAAATATATGGATGTTACATCCCTGCAGGTCAAACAGACATTCATGGCATTAAAAAGGGTCTGACTGAAACAATGAAAAACTGAAAGGAAAGAAAACTGGTGGGTCTCGATTCGCTTTCTTTCAGCAAGAGCTGGTTAAACAATGGAAATAGTGTGCTTCCTCAAAGGGAAGCAGAGATTTGAGGTGCAATTTGCAGGCGACAAGGGCTCCCCCTTTCCCAGCAAAAACAGGGACACTCAAGTTTTGCTGGGCACAGATTTGATCCAATCCTTTTCTTAAACATGGACTAGGAAACCTCGCCAAAGACAGCGGGTGGGCATCATTGTGCCTCTGGCATGCCTGGGCACAGAGGGCAATTAAAATGCTTCCTTTAAGCCACCGACACTGGGCAACCGAAGTTAGATGAAAATGGTCCCTAGCTCTCCAAAACGGAACCAGCTTCTTCCATGGTGACCATTGCTTTGAAAGAAGCTCCTAATCACAACTGATTTTGTGATTATAACACATTTTCCTTCTTATGAAAATGACCAGTAGAAGACAGAACGCTGCAATAATCATGGAAACGGAATTATAAAAAAAAACAAAAAACCTGCCTACCTGAAAGCCATAATACAGATTTTTTAAAAATGTTCTCAAACTTTTGAAGCTAAATGCCTGAGTTTTCCTAGTCCAACCACTAATGTGAAGGCACGAACAGAGTACCCGGGATGGAACGGAGTGATGGGCAAAAGGGCATCACTGGGGAGGTAAAAAAAAAAAAAGCGTGTTTTCTTTTTTTTAAAAAATCTTGCTTATTTTCTTCCAACATGTTCCAAATGCCATGACTGGCTGCTTAAAAACGCTTGTCTTGAGAATCCTTTTGGGAAACTAAGAACCAAGGTAAATTTTATACGCACTCAGGAACACTCCCGTGCAGCGCTCCCGGACACGCTCACGCACTCCGGATGCCTCCCCGGGGGTGGGGGAGCCGCGCGTCTCGGCCCCGCGCGTGGGCCTGCGGCCCAGGGCGGCCCCAGCGGAGAGCGCGCCTCGCGCTGAAGCCCCGGCGGCCGGCGGCTACGCAATCGGAGGGAAACCGAGAGCAGCCGAGCGGGTGAGTCCCGCGGAGACGCGCGCACGCACGCGTGTCCACGTCCCAGGGTGCGTGGCCGGGCCGCGGACTCCGCGGCACGCCGACGGCTCCACGCCCGCCCCAGGCCGCTGGGTGCTGGCGCCTCCTGCCCGCGTCCCGGCTCAGCTTCCTTCTGGGAGAACCACCCGTGGCCCGGGCGCCGTCGCAAGGGCTCCGGCGTCCCCGCTGGACCCCCGTCTCCCGCCGGCCTCGGCCCCGCGGCGGCACCTGCGCGGCTGCCCGGCTCCCCTGGGGCCTCGGCGGGCGGCGCGGGCGCTGCGGCAGGTGCCGGGGTGGGGCCGGCGAGCGCGGCAGGGAGCGCAGGGCCCCGCACAGCCCCGCGCAGCCCCCGCGCCCTCTTACCTCCTCCCCGGCGGGCGGCGGCGGGAAGAGGCTCCCGGCGGCGAGGCAGCGCCCACACCCGCGTCCCCGCGCCGCGCCCGGCCCGCCCCGACGGCCAGACCCGCCCCCCGCCGCGCCTCCTCGGGGCCGCGCGGAAACCGGCGGGAGACGCCCAGCGCGGCGCCGCTGCGCAGCGGGCCGCGGCCGGGGCCACCGGGGGAGGGGGCGGGGGCGGGGGGCGTCAGCCCGGTTCCCAGGGTCGCGAAGGGCCTCCAGGGAAACTGTTCACGGAACGTGCGTCTTCGCTCCTCTTTCTCAGGAGCCACAATTGGTTACATTAAAAATAACACTTAAAAAACTCTAATGCACAAGTGTTAAAGGTCTTTTTGAAGGAACATGAGAGGAGTTCCACCTCTTTGGCAGGTAATGTGCAAGTTTACCACCTGCTTCCCTGTAACACAAAATACGTCGCTTAACAGACAAAACCGGTATGTGGCAATAGAAACAGCACAAGGCGGCCCAGACCTGGGGAGCAGGTGACCGGCAAGGGGCACCGAGGAACCCTGGGGGATGAGCTGCGTCCAGTTGGTGGGGGTGAGTTACATGGATTTACTATGCATCTAGCAAAACTCACCCATCTTACGATTTGTGCATTCCAGTTGGTAAATTTTACCTGTTTTTAAAACCCTTAAAAACAGCATTTGCAGGTCTTTGAATCTATCAGTTAATCTTCTGAAAAGGGGCACAATTATTCAATTTTCAGAGGTACCAAATTTGCTAAGTACTTATGTGGCCAAACAATACCACCAGTGCTAATTAAATCCATCCGAGGCTTCACTGACAATGATCCATTCCAATACCCATTCACCAGCTCAAACTAGGATTCCTTTTAAATACCTGCCAGTCCTTAGCATTTTCGGGTTTGAAAGCAAAACCCAATGGGAAGATTAGGCTTGGGGGTTAGAAATTAAAGGATTCATTCCAGCCTCCGTGGCAACCTTCGGTAAATACTTAACCCCTTTTCCTCCACTGAAAAAGGCATATTATAGTTCTACTGAAGTTCTGCGCTGATTGAGCGAAACAGGCAGGGACTCGCTCTGTGTTCATGTTTCAGACACACACTGTCCCTAGAAATCCACTCTCGGGAGGTGGGAAGACTAACTCCAGGTACAAGTGGCTGGATCAGTGTGCTTTGTCATCTTTAAAATAGCTGCTTGGCCATTTTTGCCTTAGTTAGAATTCTTGCCAAACTGCCTTCATTGGACATTTATGCTACAGTTTAATCCTTTCTAAAGGAAGGCAACATAGACGTGAAGAAAAAAAAGGCTTTCCAAAGGACAGCGCTGTGGTCTCGTGGGCATCGGGCTGATACTGGCTGCCCAGGTATCTTTCATTCTTTCTGGGTCAGGGATGGTCTAGTGATGTCCAGATTGCGTGAGGTCGATTCCTTATGTCAATAACATCCCTTATACAAGAGAGAGCTTTTATTTCCCTAGATAATACTCTGAGAGAACAGCTTTAACTGGCTTATGATTATCAGGGCACAAGGAAGAACATGAATGACCCAATTTTCATGCTATAATAGGATTTTACATGTGTGTTGTTGACCTGACTTTCTGGAACCATCCCATCTCATGGTCCTGGCCCACGTCACAGACTGAGTCGGACAGCCCGCACACCTCAGACACACGCTGTCTTCATAAGTCTGCAGCCTCTTAGGCAGAAGGTAGACACAGATTTAGACTTGCTGGTCAATTCATGAAACATTATAATCAAAAAACCACTCAATTCAGTTAATACTTAAGTAGGACTCTAACACATACAATTACTGACCTAGGCCAGTGGAACTCCAACTGTTATATGACAATCCTTGAACTTGAAAGCCGATTTCTCTGTTTTCTTAGGGCTTCAAGACAACAAGTAGAGAACAAGACAAAACATAGTCAAGTACAGGACAGAACAGTAACTCTTACAGTTTAGAAATTACAGTAGAGTTATGTCCTGGGAACATTTTTCTAAAGGAGGTGGGGTTGAGCAAAGTATGATTTTGATTATTGGCAGTGGGGGTGGATAAGGGAATGGGAAGTGATGAAAGGGAAATCTGGACAGACGAGGGAATATGTCCCGGGGACGGGAAGGAACACATCTCATGCTGCTCCCAACCCACCTCCTTCCACCCACTGACAGTCTCTCTCTCGGTCCCTGGGAGCCCCATTGACCAGGCCTTCCCCATCCCACGAAGCCTACCCAGATGTCTTCCTGAGCATGGGGGGCATGTCTGTCTCCCACAGCACAGCACTTGTGCCCCGGCCACGGCGTGCGGCTCACATGCCCATTTCCCCAGTAGGCCACCCTCTTAAAGGCAGGGGCTGTATTTTAGGCACTCTTTTATCGCACTCTCCAAGTGGACCACGAAGTCCCTTACACAGTATTATTCAAAATAAGTTTTTTTCTTTTTAACTGAATTGTATGGGAAGGAAAGTAGGATAAATGGAGCCAAATTATAAACAGGTATATACGTCAGAGGTCATTCATTCAGTAAATATTTATTGAATGCTTACTGCGTGCCACGCCCTGTGCCAGGCTCCAGGGACATATCCATGAACAAACCAGATAAAAATCTCTGCCTTTGTAGAGCTTACACTCTAGATCTATCTTACGGGATCAGCAATAAGTTTACATAAATTTAACCATACCTATTGGCAAAAAGGAGACACATTTAAATAGTTTAATTACTGATGCTATAAAAGTCTACTGTTGGCATGTAACTTATATTACATAACGTACTTACTACACTCATAAAATATTCATAGCCATGTATGGCTCTCCAGGCATTCTGAATATGAGACTGTATCGAGAACTTTACTGGCAACTGAAGAGATTTTCGAGGATGACGTTGAGCAGGCTCGATTTCATCTTGTGAGGGGCTCAAGCTTCAAAATCTAACCGCTGGTGAGTTGTGACCCTGCTGCACCCACTCAAAACCTCTGCGGCTGGTGAGCAAAGGAGAAGCATTTTAAGGGTTTCGGCATGCAGATGATGACATGCTGAACCCACATCTGGTCAGATTAGTCTGATGACAGGGAACAAGAGACACCACATTCACATGAATACATATGGTCAATCAACAGAGGAATTCACATCGAGAATTTTTAAAAAATGGTTCGTGAGCCATTTCCCATTTTTTAAAAACTAAAACAGTAAGAGCTTGAGATCATAAACACTTATAATCAACTCTTGATTATAAAATCTAAAAGAAAAAAAATCTTAACATACTGATTTACTCTAAAAGTTTATCATTATCATTTATTTTTCAGGGTATTTTAAAAAGAACACCAAGTTAAGAAAGATCATTTTAAAATTTTGCAATAATTTTACTCTATATACATTAATACCAATAATTTAACCCTGAAAACAATTTTCACTTGTACAATGTAAAAACATTTTTTGACTCTGACTAAAAATATTCCATTACCATAAAGCTATAGATTTATGCTCCTGAGAGCAGAGTTAGGAAAGCAAAAATAATAATTATACCAGTGATAAGCACCAAGACAGAATTTTTTTGCACTTAGGGCCTGATGGGTTGTATTTAAAAATAGCCTCAATGAAGAGAGGACCAAAATAACATCTTATTTGGCAAAAACAAACAAACAAAAAGGATCTTAAAATATACACACAGAGGTCTGTAAACAGTGAAGAATGTCCATTTTAAAAATAAAACAATAAAATCAGCCGTACATATTTCTTAATTAATGTGACATTTGCAAATATTTCCTGTCACTTTGCTTCCTCTTTAATTCACTTTATACCGCTGAGAGTGCGCCGTGTTCGTTCACGTGTTGTCACACTCGTAAACAGGTATGTTGAATTATGGGAGTTTGCCGAAATGAATCCAAACTGAGAGCTAGATCCAGTGGCTCAAATGATTTCAGCTGCAAATTATTCAGAGTGGCAAAACAGGTTATCATTTACCTTTGTAATTTTTAAAGACCTTAGCCAGATGAGAGAGCGTGTGCCGGAGCAGTGTGGGAGACTGAGGCCGACCAAGAGGGGAGTGACCCAGAAACAAGCTCACGCAATGGCCCGAAAGACCCGGCGGCCAGGCACTGCATCTCCCCCAAAAGAAACCTGAGGCGGAGAATGGGGAAATCGGGGGGCCTGTCACACAAGGTGAGTCAGCGACAGGTGGGGAAACAAGGACGAAGGCAGGATGCCTCGCCACGACCCTCCCGGGACCCCGCGGGAGGTGAAGCAGCGGGCAGGCGTCAGGGACTGACTCTGGCTGCCCCTGGAGGACCCCGGGCTCTGCAGCTGGGGATCTGCAGGGGCATCTGTGGTGGCCTATAGCGACGGCCCCGCACCTCGCTCAGCGAGAGGCGTCAGGCCTCCAGATGGACTGAGCACCCCACTTGCTGGTCTCAGTGGTTCCCTCCATGCAGATACCGTCCCTCCGGAGGCCTGACCTTCCACGTCCAGCCCCGGGCCCCAAGTCTGAGGTAATGCCGACACACCACGCTGGGTACCACTGACGTGCAGTTCGTCACTTACCAGGCGATCTAGACTCAGCATTAGCCATTTTGGTTATCTCAGTAATACTTCTTAGTGAGACAGCTTCTCCACACAACTTACAGTATGTGGGCTAACAAAAAAAATATTGCTGGTATATGACAAAAAGACTTTTTAAAGTTCAGTGTTCAAACTCCTTGGGAGGGAAAAGATGCATTGCTTTGCCACTCTCTATGTTCTGTCCTTGGCTCTCGGGGTCAGAGAGAACCAAGGCTCCTGCTAAACTAGATAAAGGTTCTCCCAGCCCCTCCACCCACACCACAACCCGAAGGGATTCCAGAGCTGTTTGCTTCCCACATTTGTATTCCTGTCTCTGGGCATGTCTATACACCTCTCTAATTCGGTGTCAAAATCCATAGTATTTTTTTAAACAAAATGACATAGTTGCATTCTTTAAATACCAGCCATGAAACCATCACTTCAAAAAAATAGATTGTATACATAAGTCCTTTCCTTTTTTAACGTGGTTTGGTCTGAAGACATGCTTATGACCGCTTCTAAAGGGGAGCCCTGGGGAGAGCCTCACATGGCTTGGGCAGTTAGATATTTTGTGCCAACGCTGTCAGGCTCTTAAACTCCATGGCGTAGGGTTTGACTTGCTCCACAAAAACCTCCCCAAATGGGCACATTAGACGCAGGGAAAAACTTCATTTGGAATTCAGTGAATTTTAGTCACAATAAACTAATGATCTAACCTGTCCAAACATCCTCTCTGTCTTCCCCCATGTTAACTAAATTCGCTTCTTTAAATAACGGTGGGCTCTGAGGATCAAGCTGAAATCTGCCGTATTTCAAGTCCATCTCTGAGCGGACTCCGTGACTGTGGCATGACTTCAGACTCATACTGGCATTCATTTTTTGTATTTCCTGTATTTACCCAAAATAAATTTCCTGGATATTATTTAGGGAGAATTTAAAAGGGTTTTATATTATATTGTGAGGTTCCAGTAAATTCCATTTATCCGAGTTTACTTTCAGCTCAGTGTCATACAACTTCTACATGATGCAAGTATATGGATGAGAAGTATTTCAAATGCAAAACCCTCAGCTCTGTGTCATAAATAAGTTTGGGTAAAACCGCAAGCCTTCCACTGAATCGTCCCGGCAAAGATGGCCCATCTTCTCTGCAAGCAGCAACCTAGGAATCAAGGGAAACCCGCGGTCACCCGCCCGTTCCGAAACACAGACCCGATCGGTGATGCGGAACGGGGACCTCCCTTACCTCTCTTTGGCCAGGAGGACAGACATGCCCACGAGCTTGGCAAACTCTTCCGAGGTGAGGGATCCCTTTTCTGAAACCTAGCAGAAACACGTGGTAATTCTGACCACCAGGGCACTACCCTGGGAGAAGCCTCCTGGTGCACTTGGGAAAAAAATTTCCTGACTGCACTGAAATCCAAGGGAGAGTCCCAACAGAACTCCTCACTGACGTTTACTTCCAAGGAGCCAGCAGAGGCACCGTGAAGCCCCTCTGATATGATAAGGGCAACATGCCGAAGCCTAAGAAGGACTCTGCAATATTCCGCGAATGAACAAACAGTAAATTCTAATGAATCTGAATTCACGTTACATGCTCCAGTGAAGGAACAAAACATACAGGTTTACTTTTAAGTATGTGGCAGATATGTCTATGGTCCTGGGATTCCGTCTAGTTTGAAATAAGCTGAATAAATGTGAGTTACTCACATTACATAGGCTCACCACAGAGGCTATGAAGGCAGTAATAGTTCAAGCATCTTAATGTGTCATGGCAGCAGTTCGGCTAGTAAAATCAATCTAAAACAGTTGCCTTCCATATTTTTTAAAGCAATTCTTTCATAAAACAACTTGTGATATTTGTAATTCTGCTTAAAGTGTTCTGAAAGAAAAAATCCAATCATGGGCAACATTTTGATTAACAAAGTTAAAACCTGTCCTCAAAACTGAGCTTCAGAGGAAAAGAGAGCGCCTCGCTAATTCTGATTCTCCTTATCTGTAAGACACCATGAATGCTAGTTAAGTTTCAAAAACATTTCAAAGTATAATTTTGATTATTATTTACTAATTGGTAATGATAAACTATTTTTAATTGGGTCTGCAAACACTACTTTTTAGGAAAGTTAAATTTAAAAGGAAACCCTGTTTCTCAAGTTGCTAAGCACTGGGTCCTGGCAGCAGGCGCTAGTGACCAGCAGATGCCAGGTTCACATACCGTCTCCAAGGCCGAGGCCACCATTTCCTCTTCCCTGTGGGACTGAAGCTCAATCACCATGACACCACTGTCAAAAACCCGGAGCCTGAAGATCGTAGATGAGAGAACAAAAAGCGTGAGTATCTGGACCTGCTACTGCTACGGAGGTGCACGTGTTCTTTACTTTCTTTTTGACCAAGTATAACAAGACAACACTTAAAACAACCACAAAAGCAACTAAGGCACAACAGAAAAGCTCATGAATAAGCAGTTAATAAATTATGGGCTATAATCCACATGCTCAGTAAAATGATTACTTTTTTTTAACCTAAGGATAAGGAAAATACAGTTCAGAGCTGAACATCTGCAGTTCTCAGTCTGAAGAGACTAATAACATGGAACTGAAGTCTAGGAAAGGACTGGTTACCCCGACCTTGTGGGGTGAGCCCTCACTCTTATCTCACTGCCCCTGATCAATAGTCTGGCCGACGAGCCGGCTCAGGCCACGCCCACCCTGGCAAGGATGGAAGCTGGGAGCCAGACGGGCTGGTGGTGCCAAAGGAGCGTGTTCACATGCAACCCCAGGAGGGGCCGCTGGCTGGCTCCCCACGCAGGATGGGAGAGCGGGCAGGGCGTTCCTGTCGCCTGTCTGCAGGACCCTGGCTGCACGGCCAGCTTCCTGTGGGGGTTCTTTTACCTGAGAGGCAACTTCAGTGCTTCCAGCATCTTGCATGCATTCACTAAGTCTTCTGGTGAGAGCAGCTGATGGGAGAAAAGCCCAGTTCACACCGTGAATCGATAGAGTGGTGCTATATAATTATAATCATCACAAAAACAGACAAGGAAATCTAAAACGAATTATATATCGAGGATTTTAGGCAAAACTTTTTAAGAAGCAGAGAGTTGTATTCATTAAAGCAGTGCTATACCCACGAGAAATACAAGGCAGATCATATATGTAATTTTCAATTTTCTAGTAGCCACAATAAGAAATAAGTGAAATTAACTTTAACACATAGATCAAAAAATTCATCATATGACATATAAAAATTGTTAATGAGATAGTTAACATTTCTTCATTCTGTATGTTCTAAGTCTTCTAAATCTGGCATGTAAGTTATACTTAGAGCACATCTCAACTTGCACTAACCACATTTCAAGTTCACAGTGGTCACATGTGACTAGCTAGCGGCTCCCCTGCCAGACCATGTAGCCTTAGAGCATCAGCCCAGGGTGGTGGCTGACAAGCACAGATCTGAGGCACAGAATGGGTCTGGAGCAAGCCCAGGCTGGGTCCAAATTCCTGTCAAACCCTATCTCCAGGGAAGCCTTGGTCAAATGATTTAATCTTTTAAGCCTTAATTTCCTCATCCCCAAATCATCCCCCAAGGGAGATAGTAAAAGTAGCCACCTCACCGAGTTACGGGGGGTGAACAAGAGGTGCAGAGTGCCTGGCGGATAGTAAGTACTCCCTGGCAGCAGTTATGATGAGCATTCAAAACACAGCAGAGGACTGGGCTGAGCCCTGCGGACACGCGTCAGTCACCTGCACAGAGGTGACTGCCGACATGGCAATACCGTGTTTGACCCCAAAAGCACAGAGCCCTGGGCGGAGCCTCGGCAGGCACGGACTCCTGGGTGCAAAGGGCAATGAGAGCTGAGTGGCCACCGCTGTTTCAGAGCCAGGGCAAGGCCGCTTTCCCCCACTATCGTTCAGAGGCAGTCTGAACCCAAGCCACCTAACTATCCCAGACAAGAGGCATCCTCCACAACCTCACTAATCACAACACAAACAGAATGTTAAGCTGCAAAGTGTCAGTCAGTCCAGACCTTTTGGAAAACTGAGTCCCAGAGAGGTTAAGTAAGCTACTCAAGGTCACTCAGCAAATCATTGGGAAAACCAGGAACAGAATACACCTCCTTGACTCCAGGGCAGTATTCTTTTCAATGCACCACATTTCAAAATATTTTTGATATTCATAACCCTTCCTCAAATTGTATTCACTGGAGGGCAATCTGTATTGTATTAGTAAAGTCTATAATTAGTTAAAAGAGTATCCAGACACTCTTACTTCCATTCCTCGCGCTCGGTTTACTAAGCAGTACACCTCTGTGAGTGACATTATTCCCCCTCGTTCCTATTAAAATACGAAATAAAAGAATTATGTTATAATTAGCACCAGTTAGCACTTCTCACAGAAATCATAATCAGAGTGAAATCAGAAATCATAAAATTTCTTAAGAAGCTTTTAAAAACTACATTTACACACAGGAGAACCTGTTCAGATACCATGAGGCATTTCAAATTAATATTCAGACTTTAATGTCATTATTGCTGCTTATCATTTACTTAAATGAAAAGAAAGGCTCTACACCATGGTTCAGAAAGTGTGTTTAAATGTTTTAAGTTATTCCCGCTAATAAGTGGAGAATAAATTACAGAATTAAATAAGAACATCACCAGTTTACAACCCTAATGAAACAGCAGATCCAGACAGGCACTGCCCGTGGCTGCTAACGTTGCTGAAAAAGGGCAATCAGATGCTGAGCACCTCCTGATGGAAATTCACGGCACCCCCATGAGATGCACTGGTCAGCAGGGGGAACTTCTGGATGTGACCACCACTTCCAGGGAATACACAGGACAGGGAAGCATGTTAACATGCAGGTTAGCAACACCCAGGCCCTGAGACACTCTGTAGATAAACGACCAGTTTCTCCAATGAACAAATTATGCGGGGGAAAAAAAGAGATGGGACAAGGGGAAACTGTGGAATTCACACTAACTTGAAACAAATCAACTAATTACAATGGTTCTGATTTGAACAAACTAAGAGAGAATATGAACACTTAGGTATTTGATAATATTAAAAATTATTTTTAACTTTTCAGGTGTGAAATGGGATTTAAATATACATTTAAAGCATCTTTATCATTCTAATGACATACTGAAATATTTACAGATAAAGTGATGTGATGTCTGGGATTTGCTTTCAAATAATTTTTAGCTCTCACTCGCCTCAGATGTGACAATTTGAATGTAACAAAATGATAATAATTTTGAGTGGGGACTGGCTTACACATGCAGCTGAATGATGGACACAGGAATTCATTATGGTATTTTTTCATCATGTTTGATATATCTCTTAATATAAGTGCTTGAATAACTAAGTTTTGATTGCCTGAATGTTAGATTAGAAAATGAATCTGTATTATGAAATTTTTAATAGTATACTGTCTTAAGACTAGATATGTAAAAATTTATCTAAATACATACAGATAACATATTTCCTTTTGAAAATAAGATGAGAAAAGCTTCATATCAAATACATTTAGAAAGTTAGAGATATCTGAAATAGTAAGTGAAAACAACTTAGAAAACTGACAAAGAATCCAGTAATAAGTACACTGAACTAAATATTCCTGAAAGAAAAACACAGCATGTTGGTTGAACAGAAACCACATTATGAAAAGAGTTGTGCTTATGCTAAGATTTCTGATGATGTGGAAATAATTTGAGACAATGTAAAAGGCCCATTTTGTTTTTTTTACCTCTAAAGGCGCCTGCAATATTCCAGCCAGCTGTCTGGCCAGCTGCATGTGGTACTGAGTGCCTGAGCCGCAGGTTTCCCTGGTAACTGGGTTGGCTATTCCCATACTCAGCAAATAGGATTTAAACCTGATGGTCTGTGATAAGAGAAGAAAATGTACAGAAAGACTATGTAGAATTGGTCTCTTCACTGCAACATCTGAAATTCTTCCTTCATAAATTCAATTCAACTCAGTTATTTTTCCATCTACCCATTTCTTCTACCATGTTTCTGTATCGTGAGCTCTAAAAAAGTGGATTCTCGTTGGTCCCTGCAGAAATCTAACTATTCTTCTTCCTTCTCCTGTCTTGGCATCTGATACTCCATTTACCTCCCCAGTTTGGTGCGAGAGACTTAGAGAGCAGCCGTGCCATATCTATGCCAACCGAGTGACACAACTGAGAACTGAGGAAGGAAAATGGCTGTGACCAGGCTGTAGACAAACCGAGTGGGGCCGACATCAAACTGACGGCTATACGGGAAATAGCTGCTCCATACACACGTCAGTATTTTCTATGCCCAAGAAAAGGCGGTGTGACATGTCCTTTACTCCTACTGGAGCTAACAAGGTTTTTATGGTTGACTTTTTGTTCAGCACTTTTCTATGTCCTCAAGTCCAACAAGAAATAAAATACTACATTAAGAAAGCAAGTTGGTTAACTGCTAAAACATCATTGCGTTGTATGTGTGACCTAGATCTCAAGACTGTGAAAAGGCGATGCGTTTACCTCGTCTTCTGTGATGTCTCCTTGCTTGTCTTTAATCTTAGTAGCAATTGATTTTGATAACTCCACCATTTCTTTAGCCTGTTGAGGGAACAGTAAAAGACTGGAAAGAAGTAATCTCCCCAGTGTTTGCTAACAAAGACATGAGAAAACTGTTACGCAGTGGGTGCGCGTGTCAGGGGTGTCAGAGGCACATACCTTGACCATTAGCTTGCTGAGGTCTTCAAAAGCCTGAAATGAGAAACGAGTTTGTGTTGCAATCTGTCCAAAGAATTAAAACATTTTAAAACAATGAAGCACTCTATTTTCTTCCCTTTGATAAAAACTTAGGAAAATTTGCAAATATCAATTTATTTATATATTTTTATAAGTAATAAATCTATGTTATTCTGAGAATTCAGTTTAGTTGAGAAACCACAAGTTTTCATAACAAACCACAAAAAATTTCACTTTTTCAAAGAGCAAAGTTATTTTGATTACACAAAAAGGTGACATAAGTAACAGTTCTGAAAATACTATTTACTGTTCTTTGACACAAGCAAGAAAATTTGTCACTGTTATTTCCCAAAACCATTTCCTGATGGGAGGCCAAGAGTCAAGGGCACTGTAAAGCTTTCCTGGGTGAAACAGGCAATATGCAGCCTCAGGAATACGTCTTTGAGCTCAACAAGTCTGGTTTTAATAGCAGCTGTGATTTAACTGAAGCCATAAACCTCTGTCTCCGAATACTGATTTATTTTGTAGTTTGGATATAGTGGGTAGGATTTCACAAAAGAGAAGCACTCAACATTACCAAAACATATCTAAATAAAACCCAGCAATTATTTAATTTACTCTAGTGAATAATCACTTCAAAGGCCTCTTCAAGCTTAATCAGACATATTTATAACAAATGTATTTCAAATTATCAAACATACACCTCCAGGGCAGAGTACCTTCTGGCTAACTGATGGCAACAGATGTTATTTTTTAAAACCAATTAAGCAGCTTATTAACCAAAATAATTTTCTGAACACGTAAAATAGTGTCAGTGGGCTCTTATTAGCTCAGTTACATGCAGGGAAGTATGTATCCCCACCTGCTAGAGCCTTTGCTGAAAGAACAATGTCAGTCTGAGATCCTTATGGCCCACTACGGTTAATGCTGAAAACAAAGGGGAATGTGCACACACCTAACAGGAATTTCCTCAGATAAACAAAAGGCCTAAACTCTGGATTCTTATCAGCAACAGCCAGCAGCTGCAGGAAGCCTCTGTGGGAAACTGCGGCTGCAGCTCTGAAGCGAAGTCAACGCTGATGTTTGGGTGGAAGGTAAATCATACACCAGCCTAGTTTTTCCAGAACAGAACACACCCTGAACACTCTCCAATTTTTACTATGAATACACAAAATTTTAGTAATTTCTTTTATCCATGTAAAGAGAACTATCAAGACAATACTTTTAAAGTTGTATATGGTAAATCATAGAAAAAATATGCTGGAAGTGATGAGTCCACATAAAAGACAAAAATTAATCCTTATTGCTTATAGTCCATAAAAAAGCACAAATATTTTAGTGCCTCAGAGGAATCTCCTATAAAATGTTTAAGTGATTATAAAACACCAATAAAATCTTCTGCATTTCTATTATTATTCTAAAATTTGGAATTGACCAGCCATCCAAAAAATGAGTGGAGAAACAGCCTACAATAAAATTAATACAAAGTAAGATGTATGGGCCCCTTCTATTATTTTATCTGCCAATTGACAGAACCTCCTGTCCCTCTACCACATCCATCGTCTTATCATGAAGCACTTTTATTAAAAAAAAAAATCCTAGCTCTTTCCACTGAAAAGGTCTAGAAATAATGATAACCCAATGGAGACACATATGCCTTAACAGAGTGTGGCTCTGATGGACTGTTTCCCACTACAACAAACCAGACCAGAGCTCTGGGGACGGTAGAGCCGGGGCGGGAAATGTATAGGAACGTCCTGGAACTTCGGTCACACCGGACAGTAAGGAAACTACCAGGGCCCGGGTCACATCTAAAGCACTCAGGAGCCGGCCTGAAGAGGCTCCCACTGGCCAAAGACAGGACAATTTGAGCTTTAAACAGGATAATAATTATAACTGATTGAAATTCATCAAATATGTTAAAATTTATGAAATCATAATAATATGTTAAAAAGAACCCTAACTAGTCACTTTGGAGGATAAGGAACCAGTTTACTAACCTGATGATAAAGGAAAACCCACTCACCCTGCCCTCCCTTAGGAATTCTGTCCAGGAGTAGCCAAACGGTAGATGGGTGGATGTATCTCTTTAAGAGGTATTCAGCTGATAGATGAAAACTAAATAGAATATCACCATTTGCAACCACGACCAAACCAACAGGTACGTGCACTGAACATTAACAGCGCTGCTAACGTTGCCAGAAGAGATGCGTGCCTCCTGGTGAAAGGACGCAGCATCCCCAGGCTTACCAAAGGGACCAAACCCAGGATCGCCGGCACCTCCGGGTCCAGATGCCCATTTGCAGGAAACACACAGGGCAGAGGAACAGGCACAACCTCACCATAAACATGCCATCGGCAAAGCCTAACTTGCGGGCACTTAACAGCTCAAATGCCCTTGGTTCCTCGTCAATCACCTACATGTTTAGACTCAAGACGCTGAGAAGGAACTGGTGGTTACCATGAGGGGGCCTGCGGGGGAGGGTGCGCAGGGCGAGGGAGATGAAGGGACACACAAATCCCCAGTCTACCAGAGGCTGACTGCGGGGACGGCAGGGCAGCACGGGGGACACAGCCAGTGACTCTGTCACATCCTGTGTCGACAGGCAGTGGTAAGGATCTGATCGTGTGGGTAACTGGTGAGTCTCTGTGTTGTATGCTTTAAACTAACATAAGACTGTATATCAATTTTTAAAGAATCTACATTTTCAGTTAGTGGGCCCAGAGTAAGTATCATGATAGCCAATCTTATGTGTCGACTTGACTAGATCACGGAGTGCCCAGGTCTTTGGTCAGACACTGTCCAGGGTGTCTGTGAGGCTGGCCGTAGGAGGTCAGCATCCGAACGGGTCCAGTGAGTCGAGCACACAGCCCTCCTCAGTGCAGGGGGGCAGCATCCAGGTCGCTGAGGGCCGGAAGGAACAAAAAGGTGGAGGAAGGGAAAAGTCGCTCTTTCTCTGCCTTCCTGAGCTAAGACCTCAGCCTCATCCTGCCCTTGAACTGAAACCCAATCCCGTCCGGGCTCTGGTCCTCAGGCCTTCGGACTCCGGAATTTCCATCACCAGCCTTCCTGGGCATCAGCTTGCAGGTGGCAGACGGTGGGACTTGTCGGTCCCCACAACCCCATGAGCCAGTTCCTTACGATGAGCCTCACTGCATATGGCTGTGGATCTGTCTATACAGATATGTCTGTACAGACAGACAGCAGTACACTGATGTCTGTGTGTCTCCATTGGTTCTGTTTCTCCAGAAAACTTTAAATAATACAGGTATTCAATGAATATTTGCAGTTTAGACTTTATTTGGTTGACACACCTCTCTGAAGTTCTTTGAACAGCACGAATCCATGGAATTTTACTTAGAAAGCATTGTAAAAAAACAAGGAATTACTTCATAGAATAATTTCATAAAAATGCAAGACCATTTTTACATAAGCACGGGAAAACCAATGATGTGTTTCGATGTATTAACTCACCGCAGACTCTTTCCTAACTAGAGTTCTTTCCCCTCACTTGAATTTCCGCATAGATGAGGTTTCAGAGAGCCTGTAACGGGCCTGCTCAGGGTTGCTCTCCTGGTAGGAGAGGTCAGCTCGTCCGCTCCACTCGTACTGGCTGTTTCTGGCCCCTGAGTGGCCATCAGCATGAAACTGTGTGGAGTCCGCCCGGGGGGAGGGCCACAGACCAGCACTTTTCCCTCAACTAAGTCAACCAAATGTCCAGCATAATTATTCAGAGGACTCTGAATTCATTAGGAGTACCTACCAATCAATCCAGCTCAACTTGAAAATTCACACCCAACAATCTTGATGTTTTGTAACATCACAGAAAACAAACTTGCATTTCTCTTTTCCATTTCTTTGGAAAAGGTTTTTAATGCATGCCTTGGCTAAATCATGCCAACCCAAAGTAGACCTAGTAAATGGAATAAGAGAATTTGTGGGTCCAGGAAAACAAAACCACTCCGATATACAGAATGGAATTAGTCACAACTGTATCCCAAAGAATAAACACAAACAGCTGAAAACCTGTGTAAAGTTACCTCAGAAATGTTTCTGTCAGTCTCTTTCCTTTTTTCTTCCAATTTCCTTTCAATACCCACAATCCCTACAGCCCTTATTCTTCCTGCCTGAAAAACAAGAGTAGAAAATAAAACTCACAGAATAGGAAGGACACGGTCTTTTGTGACCCACCACTTTGCGCTTTCAATGACTGGAAAGGGCCCACAAAGGACTGAAGAAAAGCAGACAATTACATCCCGTTTCCTCCCAGAATGCCTGTTAGTTTCTTGCCATTGACAGTGATCCTCAATCTTTATAAAGAAAAACTGCACATACCATAAATGGCATATTTTATGCTGTGCTCCATATGCACATTAAATATCCTATTCATTTTTGTTCTTTGGCAAACTATTATCTATGCATCATATATGCAATAGGGTCTCACAAGTACAAAAATTTGTAGTAAAATTTTAGTACTTGACAGTTATTATATAAGCTACTTGCACACATTTGAGCATTTGTCCATAGTTGGCGATCGATTTAGACTAGCCTGGAAAAGGCCACCCACAGGTGTTGTCTGTTCTCTCGATCCACATCGACTATGAAGAACAGAATGCAGGGAGCAGAATCTAACCTCTGCCACCCCAAGAATTCCTCCGGTAAGGAGGCATTTATATTTACTAAGTGTATACTATTCACAGAGCACTAAATTAGGTTCTGTGAAAATAAATTTTCAAATGAGAATATCATTGCTTTGTTTCCATCAAGTTCTATAATCACAGAAGTCTCCTCCCTTAATGGGGATGTAAACACAGAGTTAAAAACACTGGATTAAGAAGTTTCTTAAAATACCTGGGGTCCTCGATTTGTTTGTAATGACTGGGACACTGGCATATTCTCCCATCTCCTCTGTGTCATTTCCTCTGATAAACGCCTGTAAAACTGTTAAGCACATACACACTCCATGAGTCAGGTTGTTGCGTCCTTGTACAAATCGTGACTGAATGTTTCTTCAGTTGGAAGTTCTGTTCAGTCATTTGCAACGAGCCTAGAGTTCTCAGAGACTTCAAAGGAAATTAAAGGAAGCTCTTTTCTTGGACCAACTTCAGAAAATGCAAAGGAAAACAAAGAAGGAACTGACCTATATAAAGTGAGCCATTCTCAACAGAGAGAAGTGTGACGATGCAATGAAATAAACAGACTTAAATAATCCTGCATATGTGAATTGTTTTCAATCTATAGCAAAACAGACATTAGTGCCAAGAAAAATATACAACCATTACCCTGAAGCTAACACAGAGAATAATTTGTCTAGTTAAAATGTAAAGCCATAAACCGGGGCTAAAACATGCCTACACTCCCCAAAAAGGAGCTATATTTTTCAGCTACAGTGAGAACAACTTCAGTGGGTCACTTATTTCTGCTCAGTGCCCAATGTGAGGGGCACAGGGCGAGGAGCTGGAGAGGAACCCAAGTAATTCATGACATAGGTGGGGAGATACACACACACTTGTCAGTGTGAAGAGTACTTATTATCAGAATATATAAACTAATATGCTAGGAATATGTATTTAAGGGATTAGACTGATATGGAATTGAAGACAGACTGCCTGCTTTGAGACCGGCGAGCCTTCAGACAGAGGCCGTTTGACATTCCACGGCATTATATTCCGTGTCCCTTTCACCAGACTATACCCCTGAAAACGTTACTAGCAGCCTGATGACATGACTTAGCATTTCCAGCCTCTGCTCTTTCCTTTTGACGCCTTCCTGCATTCTGTTCCCACTAAAACCTGAACTTCATAGTCTCCATTGATAAGGCTTCAGATATCGTAACAATTTTACTGTAAAAATAAGGAGGAAACCTGGTATGTTGTACAATATCGCCTTCCACCATATGAACAGACAACAAAAATACAAACACCCATTCCTAGGCCAGTTTCGCTCACAGAGGAACTCACCTCGATCTGGCCATGTTCTCTGAAGGAGAGTCGGATGTAAGAGCTCTTACTGCTCTGGAATGGACCAGGCTCTCTGTCAGGAGGAGCTGGGCGAAGATGAACCACTATTTTGGCACTGAATGAAGAGCAAAATGTAATTTATTTAATTGCCTTCTAAAAAATCACAATTCTGTTTTCATAACTTCTAACATATTTCAGACCACTTTTAAAATTCATGTAGAAACAAAGGACCCTGAATGGAATCCTTTTAAATTAAAATTGCATTAACTCAGTGTTACTGAACCTTTAAGAAATGCTTTCACTTAAAACTTCCAAGCTCTGAACCAAAAGTTCAAGTTACTAGCTCTATAGAGTAAATGAAAATGTGGTTGTAGGAAATAAGTTCAAAACAAATTAGCAAAATTTTGGGTGGTTTATGATTTTTCGTTTGATTAGGGTTTTCTATCTACAGAGTCATCCCCAGAGGTTACCAGGGGGCCTATAATTTCTGCCAAAGCTGCTCATGTGAGAACAAAATGTGTGGAGCTGGCAGCAGACACTTTATTAAACTCCATCCAAAACTAACATTCTACAGTGTCATGTTTGGAAAATGTCATTCAGTCAACAGCATGATCTAGAAAGATACCCAAGAGCGAAAACAATTCTCAAAATGCTGCTGCTCTAGGAACACAAACTGCCACTATCTTTATGACTCCCGGTACCTGCAGTGCTATTAAAAATGTCACAATATTTGTTCAGATTTCTAAGTCTTTTTTCCTTTTTTTCCCAACCCACTCAATAAGCAATCTTTTATGAAGATTAGTAAAACCAAAAAACTCAGTTGCAATATACACAGCTTACAGCTTTATCTTTCTCTCCACATTATAGATTCACTTATCACTCAACCTTTTTTTTGGTTTAGGCCAAACAATTGCCTAAATACTACTGTAAAATGGAGATGCCATGTGTGGGGCCTCTCGCTGCAACAAACGCTTTGAGCAGTGAACCAGGCCCCGACTCAGAAGGACTCAGTGCTTTGTGGAGAACATCTTCGAGGGGGGCCAGCAAATAAACTGCACAGAATCGCAGGACTGTTTGAACTGAACTGTCAAGTAGAGTGACAAAAATATGACAACCAGGATAAGGTGACTGAGCAAAAAGCATTATGCAGTCTTTAAAATGAAAGAAATCTTCAAAATTTTTAAATGAAAATACCAAGTTTTGTCAATGGAAACCCAACAAAAAGCTAAAAGATTATGATACAAAATGAAGTTTAAAAATCCTACAATCAGCACAGAAGATCCATGCCATTTTTTTTCAAATATTCATTTCTTAGGTCATTCAATTATCCGTATTTCAGCCAGTTTAAAATCCACTAAACCAAAGCAGCATCTTGGGCTCAGAGATGTTAGTTAAAAGGTGAGAATATATACACACCGTTGAATCACTGAGCTGCAGTAATCATTTAGAGGAGGGAGCTAGGGGCTCAAGACAACATTTGAGAAAGGGTACTCCGGCATATTACTGACCTCCTCACTGTTTAAAAATAAGACACTAATGTGAAGGTAAATATTTTAAATATTTTTGTTACAGAGTTTAGATTTCCTTGGAACACAGCAGAGGAAAACTCAAAATGATCTGAAACACCCCTGAAGTTTTACTTTGTGGAACTTTTTAAGAAAAGCAATACATACAAATATTGAATCATTATGTTGTACACCTGAAAAGAATATATTATTATATGTCAATTATACCTCAATTTAAAAGAAGAACTACAAAGATGGAGAAGAGTGACAAGGGGAAAATATAGAGAAATGGCCTCTAAAAATCTGTGCGTTTATTAATCTTTTCAAAGTGTCAGTTAGTTCCCTTTGTGCTAGCCACACAGTAAGGCATGCGCTGCACTGTCAGTGAAGGTCAACATTTGTTTAACTTCTGTTTAGGCTTCTAGTTTTGCTAAAGCTCAAGGTCAGCCGGCATGGAAAAAAAAACTCCCTATCAGCAGTATTTGTTCCTGAGTTGCTTTCAATTACACGTGCTTAAAATGTAAGGCCAGAATGTCTGATAGACCTGAATGAACATACACATCTTAACCTGTGGCTCACACCAGGGGGACCACGTCTGCGGTGCCTGGACAGTGCATCTTCTGTGTGCCCTGGTCTGATTACAAACAGCGGCCCTGATTACGCTTAAACAGTTATTGTCCCCCTTGGAACCCTCTTATGACACTAAATAAACACTAATATCTAACAAAACCAAAGCTGAGAAGCTTAACGGTCAACCAGAATTAGGAACAAAGTCAGTTATTTTTCTCAGATGGGTCATTTCTGATTTTCAAGTACTGAGTGGCCGATAGGCAGACACGTAAAGGCATACATGTAGGGAAATGTGCACAGTGACTGTGGCCGAAATTATGTATTACGACCCAAGGAGATCGCAGCAAACCGTAACATCTGGTCCGTGGTTTCAGGAAGATGCATCCATGAGTCCAAGGTAGGGAAATACTCTCAGGGGAGCTCCTGACCAACGACTACCATTTATAAAGCTCCAGAACACAATCGTGAAGATTCGCTCCCACATATGCAGTTGCGGCGCAGCGCTCGGTCAGCCAAGTCAGCGGCAACAGCGTGACTGGGGACGACGGTCGCGCGTGACGGCTGTGATACAGAGACCTGCTCACCTCTTCCCGATTCCAGCTGCCTGTTCCTCGATGAACACGATCTGGGAGAGAGGGATGGCCATGCAGCACTCCTAGAAGGTGAGAGACAGAAAACACGATGCAGGGGACTCATCAGAAGTCCCGTTTTACGGCATTTAATAGAGTGCCATATACTTTGAAGGTACTTGATAGTAAAAACAATAATAGTAATGTTATTTAAAAATCAGTAACTTTATGAAAACTTTTTACCTATAATATATTCTTACATGGCAAACAAACTATAGAACTGGTAAATAAAAACAAATTTAAGGAGTATGTTAAATGGTTTTTCTTCTTTATAATTTTCTGTACTTCGCTCACCTACCTGCAGTTAAATTTTCACAGAAAATATGATGTAGCTTCCCCTTATGAGTGCATTTAATTTTAAAAACTATTATAAATGATTGGCATTTAATGGGTCTAAGGATTTCTAAAGTAGCCTTTTTATATGATAATCAATAAATTATACTAAGATTAATTAATTTTAAATCATGGTTTATGGACTCCTATCCCTGAAAAAGATCTCTTTCCTAAATGCATATTTCTTTTAAGAGAATCAGGTAACATTAATAGTTCTAAGGCATGAATTACCAAGAAGGGCAATATTGCCACTAAGGGGGCAGAAATTGGTTCTTGGGGTTCAAAAAGTGTCTTAGACTTGGCACGGATAATAGCCTTTCAGAGAGCCTCAGAATAGTATTATGGTTTATCTGTGGATTAAAATGTCATGGGGGAGGCTGCAATTATAAAAATCATGTAGGAGATTGCTTATTTTACTGGCAATACTAGAAGTTACACACACACATACTTTCAAGTTACAGATCTTCAGAATTATACACAGAACTTGTTCTCTCTTCCCAGAAACAAAACCCCGTGGGGGTTCCTCCTCCAGTTGAGCGACTCAGAGGCATCTTCCCAATGTCTAGGTGAAAGCGTGCACTTGACCGCAGACCTATCCTGATTCTGAACAGCAATCGGGGAGAATCCTGAGGATGAGCTTTTATCAGGATCCTGACAACTGGAGGGAGAACTATTCCCGTCCCACACAGAGCAGTCTAGTGCGGGTCAGGGTCCAGCGGGGGTTCTAGAGGCAGGAGTCTCCGGGGCTCTCCCCTCCGTAACTACAGGCTGCCCTGCCCTGAGGGAGGACCGAGGCCCTGGCCCCTCCAGGCACTGCATGCAGGGGATCAGACGGGTCACTCTCTGGACACTCTGAAAATGAAAATGTACTGCACTTATTTATAGCTTTTGCAGAAAGGAGGAAGGAAGGAAGGGAGGGAGGGAGGGAAGAAAGAAAAAAAGCTTCCATGACTTAAAACCTGGAAGAGACGCAAACAAAAATTGTGTCTTACATGATTTTTCTGATCTCTCCAAATGAGTCGGTGTGTACTAAGAAGGAGGGTTCCGGCATCAAATTTTATCTGGAAAGACAAGATCATCACAAAATATTGATAATGTGTCAGTCAGTGGTGGTCCAGGTTTTCTTCCCTATGAATTACACAAAAGTAACTTAATCACATAAGCATTTTAGTATTAGGCTTATCACAAATTAAAGAGAAGTAAGGCTATATACTTCACAACTTTATATACAGACTTGCTAAAATTAGTGAAAAACTGCAAACAAATTAGATTGGAACAATAAGGAGGTGGTTAAATCACATATGATACATTCACATTACGGAATCCACAGAGAGGTTAAACAGAACAATGAGGTACAGCTATATGGACTATCACAGACATAGTGGGGAAAAAGCCACTTACAGCATATTACATACAATGTAGTCACATGGATAACAGGTAGATAGAGATAACTGCCATATCCTCCAAACTACATGTGAGATATATATACATGTGTGCCTATGGACATACACACACATGAAGTGGTAGAAAAAGGCCTAAATAGAATACTCAGTGATCTATTAACAATGACTATCTCAGAAAAAGTGTGAGGGAATAGAAGAAGAGAATCAAAGGACCCTTTTAAAACAATACACTTTACTATTGACTGAATTTTTTACTGTGAGATCAAGTTCTTGTATAACAGTCGTATAATTTTTAAATAATTTTTAAATGGTAATAAAACCCAGAAACAGACAAAAACATACAAACGTTAAGTGTGGATGGAGATTCAGTCAATGGTACTAGGACAAATGGGTTGCCAGAAGGGAAAAAACAAACATGAAGTTGGATTTATACCCAACATACTGCACCAAAATACATTCTAGATGGGTCAAATATTTAAGCTAAAAAAAAATTATAATAGTACTAGGAAAAATCACGACAATTTAAAAAATAATCTCAGCATAGAGAAGGTCTTTCTAAGAAAAGCATTAAAGCCATTAGCATTAGAGGAAAAGATCAATCAATTCCACTCCACACACATGCACACAAACTCTCCATACCACCAACAGCAAAGGGGACAGACTGGGAAAAATAATTGTGACTCACATCACAGACAAAGGGCTAATTTCCTTGATATGTAAAGTACTGATTATTACGAATCAATGAGAATATAGCCTGTAATCCATTGGAGATAAGGGCTGTCTAGTAACAGAAAAAGAACTATAAATGACTCTGAAACACATTAATAGCATTGGTAGATGTCCAACCTCTCAGATAATGATAAAAAGGCAAATTAAAAGAACATCAAATACCCCTTTCATCCATGAGCTTGGCAAAGGTCCAAAAGTTGGGTGACATTTTGTGCTGGTGAAGTGGTGGGGAAATAGGCAATTGCACACGTTACTGGAGGGGCAACTCTATGGAGAGCAATGTATTAATATCGATCAAAACTACAAATACACATATCCTTTGAGGCAGTAACTGCACTTCTAGGAATTTATCCCACAGATGAATTCACACAAGCACACAATGATATACTACTAGGTCGTCAGTTGCTGTTTGTTAAGAGCAAAAGGTAGGAAGCAATTTAAATGTCCGTCAAGAGAAAATGTGCACCCACACAATGAGTCAACTACTCAGTCATTAAAATGAATGAGAGATTCTATGTATTTATTGTATTTGATAACATCTAAGATGCCATTTATTATAAGATGCATCCTGATTCCAGAGTTGTTAAAAGGGGGGCAGGAGACCCATGTGCATTTAGAATTGATGAAATATGGTAAATTCTCCACAGAGAATAAGTGAAGAAAAGCAAGATTGAGAATTTTGTCTGTGTAGTATATTACAAATTTGTATTTCAAAAAGGAGAAAACAATCTGCTTTATTCCAATAGCTGTGTATGGCACACACGCACAGCTCTCTAGAATGACGTGCAGTGGCCTCTGAGCACAAACAGTCGGGGGGAGACTTTGGACTTCATACTTTTTGTGGGTTTTGAATTTGTACCATGGGATTGTGTCACCTACTCAAAACATAAATGTAAAATGTCTTTCAAAACTATCTGCAATCACCAAAAAATGCCAGTTAGGTCTTTACGGTCAAACCTTTAATCTTCATAATTCATTATTATACACTGAATATTACATAAATAAGCAAATCTTGGAGTTGGAATCCAAGAGATTAATACATCAAACCTTTTCATTTCTGTTAAAATCAAGAAATACATTGGAGGTTTCTATTAACTCTAATTACTAGAAAGAGGAATTTGCCATAAGGTAGGGCTTGCTAGTATTCTTGTGAGGAATAATTAGTTATTTCAGAAGTTATAAGGTTGGTCCCATTTATAAGGCCGCCTTACAACACAAACTCAAAGGAAAGCATTTTAGTGAGGGTCCCCTTGATTACAAACAATAACCCTTTTGAGTTTAAAACAATGTGGTTAAATGTTTGTTAAGTCAACAACCAATTAGAAGATTATTATATAACATTCGTAAATAATAACCATAAACTTAATTATGTATGCAGTTGGGGCTTAATATATTCATGATATTAATATAGAAAAAAGCAGTTTAAAATGGTATACCTAGCACGATTACATACACACACTGACTATGCCAAAAGGACCTGTTCAAAAGTAGCAGGATTACTGATTTATCTCAAGTTTCTTTTGGCTTACCCATATTTAACAACTTTATTCTTTATCTAATTAAAAAATTAAGAAAATGCATTATAAGCATATATAACTTTGTGCAACTCTGAGATGTATATACATTATTTTTGGTTAAAACAGACATATGCAGAAATACTTTCTTGGGGTCAAAAAAAGTCCTTGTATAATAAATGACCAACACACTTTTGACATAAATTTTTAAAAATTATTTTCTAAGAGTAAGTTATGACTGTATTGCTAATGTCTTCATATTAGTAAGTATTCAATAATATGTTGACAAGCTTTCATGGTGGCAGTCCTACCCAACTGTCCAGTTTAAATGCCCTCTGGGAGCAATATTCTGCCAAAGCACTTCAGCACCTCAAAGAAAGGACTTCACCAGCCCCGTGTTTTCCTCTGAATCAGAATTAAACATATATGATCCGGGCACTTAATTCAGTATGGCTTCAAATGTTCTGGTTCAGCTTGTGTATGCAAAACCAAACAAATGTGTTTAAGATGTTTTTTAAACCTTTTTTGCCAATGAGTAAGATTTCTGTTTTGCAAAAGCAAGTATTTTACCAACTGCCGAGGACATGGTGCTACAGGACAGCATGAGAGTTCTTTCCCACTTCGGCTTCCCGAAAGGGTGTGAATTTAAAGTTGAAGCCAGGTGTGTCAACTGACAATGGGCAACGCAAAACGTTGCTGCTCTAAATGAAGAAATTGTGTAATAGTTCCCGTCAGGGATTCCAGGGCATCATGAGCTAAGCCTGACAGGCGAGTTTAGGCTGGTGAGCTCTACCACTCAGAGCAAGAATGATTTTAATTACTTCAACTCAGACATTCGCTGAATAAGCTCTTACCCTGTTTTGTTTTTATTTAACATTTTATGTTACCAAAGTAATACACTGTCGAAAATCTGGAACACATTTTTTTAAAGCTTCAAAAAGTAAAGGAAATGGCTCATAATCATCTCAGCTCAAGTGTGCATGTTTATATAAGTGTATATGCATGCATGTATAATCTTTAGATAAAATGAGGCCACAATGTTTATAGTTTTATAACTTGCTGTTTTGGTCACTCGGCAGCCTATCATTAGCAATTCCTCACTCAGCCCAGGGCAGGTTGTATTTAACCACTCCCAGTGCTGGACATTCAGATGGCTTTCAATTTTTTCCTATACATAATATACAGCATACATAATGCTGAGATGCACATCCTCACTCATTATATTTTTATGTATCTCATTATTTTCCAAAAGTAAATTCCTAAAAGTGAAAATAGCTAAATGAAAGAAAATATCTTCTAAATCTTTTAGTATACATGCTCCCAACTTGCCATTTTACACACCATTAACCTTCTACACTATTTTACTTTTTAAGTTATCTTGATATACACTCTTATGAAGGTTTCACAAGAAAAACAATGTGGTTATTACATTCACCCTTATTACCGAGTCCCCCCCACACCCCATTGCAGTCACTGTCCATCAGTGTACTAGGATGCCATAGAGTCCTTATTTGTCTTCTCTGGGCTACACTGTCTTCCCCGTGACTCCGCACACACCATGTCTATACTATTTTTTAAATTTGGTGAGGCTATAGACGCTTCTGTGAATTAAAACAAATGACCTGTCTGCACCGCCTACGAAAACAACACATTGCCTGGTGGTAATGGGTCCATGAAAACAGTTCCTATGTAAACAAGCAAGTACACCTTTATTCACAGGGGGCCCCTGGGTGGCGGGAAGAGCACATTCCACCCCACTAATTACTGACGGTAGGACCTGGGAGAGGCTCTCCACCGAGGGTCTCGGCGCTCTCACCTCCGGGAGGATTCGGGGTGCTGGACATCACGGAAGGGTCTGGCAGTGGTGACCACTGATTCGTGAAGCTCTGCAGCGCCCTGAACAAGCACAGGCTTTGGGGTTTGAGTCACAGAGATTTGACTCCTGTCCCTCCTGATAAGTACCTCTGCGGATTAGAGTCAAGTCTCTCTTTGGGAGTTATTTTCTCTTTCAGTAAAACACTCACCTCATAGGCCCATTGTGATTAAATGAGACCGTCTATAAAGCTCGCGGCCCATAGTAGGTGCTTTAATTTGTTCACGTATTTTACACACACAGGCCCGGAGGAACAAGGATGGGAGAGACACACTGTCGGCACCCTAGAAGCGTCCAGTGTGCTACTGGACAGCCACCTGCCCCGCGCCCCGGGGACGTGGTGAGCAGAACTCGGAAGACCGAGCCGGCTGGACCGCAGCGCCTGGCAGGGAGCCGGGGAAGGGTTCCGAGACCCGCCTGACCCGGTCCGGGCGCTGCCTGCAGGTCCTGGGTCCGGAAGCCTCCCGGCAGAGGCAGGAGGCCTGCGTGCCCGGCTTGGGCCGGGTCATCACTCTCCACCAGACCAACGGGCTGCCAGCCACGGTTTCCCCATGGCTCTACTCTCGGTGCTCCGACTCCTACACAGACTGGTCCGCCAACGGGGCCGCAAAAGTCCGAGGAAAAACTAGAAGGCGCTGGCTTAGCACAGGCTTTCCATATGCTCGTGATAAGAGCTCGTGTTTTTTTTACCTATTTTTTAAATTAAGGAATCGTTGATACACAATCTTAATGAAGGTTTCACGCGAGGAACGCTGTGGTCGCCCCCACCCACTGCAGCGCCTGTCCGTCCGCGGGTGGGGCCCACGGCCCGGGTTTGCTCCGCCTGGAGCCTCGCGCAGCCGTACGCGCGGGCCGGGGCGTCCCCGACCTGCACGCGGGCGCCGCGCAGGGACCCCGGCGGCCGGGCCGGCCACGCCCACACGGCCCCGCGGGACGCACGGCGGGCCGGCAGGCGCAGGAAGTCCGACGAGGCGCTCCCGAAGGGCCGAGGCTGCGCGGCTCGCGGCGGGCGCCCGGGTCCGCGGCGTCGGCGGGGCCCCCGGAAGCAAGGGCGGCAGGCAGCCCCGGGAACCGCCGGGCCGGCGCGCCGCCTCAGCCTCGTTCCCGATCCGCCCCGAGCCCCACCCCGAGGCAGCGCCGCGCTCCGCAAGGGCGCGCACGGCCGCACGGCCTCCGCGAGGCGCTCCGGCCCGCCTGAGGTCGCGCGCTGACGGCCCCCCGAGCGAGCTTGGGGCAGAGGGAGCGCAGCCCGGGGCCGCGGAGGGGCGGCGCCGAGCGCTCGAGGCCGCGCCGGGACGCCGCCTACCTTCTCCTCGCCGTCGTAGAGGCGCACCCCGCGCTGCTGGACCACCAGCGTCTCGGTGATCTCCAGCAGGCCGCTGGCCCACACGAAGCGGTCCATGGCCGCGCCTGGTCGGCCTGCGCGGGCGCCGCGGGGCCGAGAGCCGAGCGCCGGCAGCCGGCGGCGCCCCCTGGCGGCGGGCGGGCGGAACGAGCGCGCAGCGGGGCGGGGCCGCGCGCTGGGAGCGCCCCTGGCGGCGGAGCCGGGTACCGCCGCGCGGCGTGGCCTTCCCGGGGCGGGGCGCGCTGTCCCGCGTGCTGCCCCGCTCCGCAGGCCACCCCACCCCACCGTGCTGCCGTGCGTTAGGGGCTGCGAAGGGCACGACCTTGTTTTCCCGAATGACCTCCTCGCCTGAGTCGTTGCGCAGCTGCAGTCAGTACGCAAGCGCTGTTTTGTGTCCCTCTCTTTGGTCGCATTCAGGTCACTTTCATTGACCGTGTCCAAGACCCACGCAGGCTCATGCATTTACACAGTATTTCAATGCTACGTGGCTCTCCTGCGATTTACCTGTAGGCTGGGTCCGCGAGCAGGTCGCTGCCACCGGCCAGGCCTCTGCCGCCGTCTCTTTCATAATATTTACATATTTTGCATTATAAATGGAGCGCCTGTATTTGTACTTCTACAACTGATACTTTTTCCTTTTAGCATATTTTCTCAGATGTCCTCCCACCGTTGAATTAGTGCTTTAAGGAATTTGAACCCGTTTTTGAGAGCCTGCTCGTTATTGAGGACGCAGTTTGCAGCGCCACCAGAGAATCCGCCTTTCCCAGGCCAGAGACATTATCATCCTTCGCTACTTGGCAGTTTATTCTTGTTTCATTTTTCCATTTGTAGATGAGGCTTTTTCTCAACACGTTTTAATGGAAAGAAAATAGTTGTCCTGAAGAATGGCTAACACGGTATGAAGCTGGACAGCCTGCACTTCAGAACTAGGAATACTAATTTAGACCAAATTAACACCGGGGAGCAGAGGCGCAGAAACGGAGGGAGAAGGAGCCCCCCCGGGAGGGGGGTGTCCCAGAATCTGCGTGAAGAGAGCTTATCAGGGAGAAGGAACGGTGGGCCGTGAACGATCCTGCTGACGGCCCAGCGCCCGGGGAAATGAGGACTGATCACTGCTTGTACCATACAGAGCTGTTCTGGCGTGGACGAGTGGGTTCGGTGGCGTGGTGGGAGGAAAAGTCTGAATGGAGTGGTTTTACAGGAGAAAAAAAAGCGAGCACTTGTAGACGTGGAATACAGACAACTGCTTGGAGCTCTGCTGCAAAGGGGAGCAAAGAAAGGCCTTGGATACAGGAAGGGGAAGAGGCTGAGAGACTTTGGTTGGTTTGCTTGTATGTTTAGAGTTCTCTTTACATTCTTTTTTTTTTTCACTTTTTTTTTTGCTTTTCATTCTTAATGAAGCTCTTCTATGACATCCCTGAGTTCTGCACTCCACAGTAGCCTGCTATGACTAATTCATGTTTTTCCTTCTCTTTTAAGCCACAGTTGCCTGGTGTCTCATGACCTCTCTTGCCTCCATATAGCAGTGTATGTGAGACCCCCTGCCAAACAGTAGAAATGAACACTAAAAATAAACTTTTGTCATTAAAAAGAAAAAAAAAAGGTAACATACAGCATCTTAGTATATAAACTTTAGTCCAGATAATTTCTTGATGCTCCTCCCAGTGAGAAGTTGTATGATCTGAGTTTCAGGAAGATGAGTTCGTCTCAGTATAGCAAAATACTTTATAATACTCGGAAATGCCAAGATGAGAAAGGGCTGCCTCTGAAATCATGGGTTCCTTTTCCCAAAGGCCACACGGTGACTTACTGGGAACCCTGTAAGTGATACAAACTCAGACTGAACATCCATGGTTCCCACTAAAGACATTTTACAAAGCCCTGTGCAAATAATATGAAAGCTTGATTGACATGGGTGTTTGGAGAATATAAATGTTCAAATTAACTCTGGAAAGAATTTTTAAAACCTAAGTTGAGAAAGTTATCAAAGAGTTACAAAACACACACATACAAGCAAACAAAAACAAACCAGAAAACGCTTCAGGACCAAACAGGTGAATAATGTTTAAACCTTGACACAATAATTATTTTACCACTTAAATTTTTCCAGAGCACAAAGAAAGTTTCCAAATTCTATTTATGAAGCCATAAAAACACTGGTTCCAAAACCCAACAAAAATATAATATAAAGAACATATAGAAAAGGATCATACATTAAGAATGCAATAGCATTCTATAAAATATTAGCAAAAACAAATAAGCAGAATATTAAAAGAATGGTAGAGCGCAGTCCAATTGTAATTCATCTGAGTGCAAGTACAATTCAATATTAGGAAATTATTACCAAAATTCAGCCAATTAAGAGATCAAAGAAGAAAATTCAAATGATAATCAAAAAATAATAGTAAAAGACATTGACACAAGTGAACATCTATTCCTAATTTTAAAAAAATTTCCTAGGAACAGATGAATACTTTCTTGACACATTGAGGATCTTGTCCAAAAACAACTGGTTAATTTCCTCCCTGCCTCCTTTCCTTCCTCCCTATCCTCTCTTTTGGATTCTTTTATTTATTTAGGTATAATTGGTATACATTAAAACTTGCAATTACTTGTAAAAACCACTTGTAGTTTCCTAAGTGATAAGAGCCCTCAGCTCTTGCTCTGGGGGCTCCAGGATGGGGGCTGGTCACCAGAAAGACCCAACTGTGTCAGAAGCTGGGGCTTTCAGCACACACCTGCCCCCCTTCTCCAGAAAGGGCCCCAGGGGCTGGAAATGGAGCCCACAACTGATCATGCCTATGTGAGGAAGCCTCAGAGAGCTTCCAGCTTGAGAACACATCCTCGCCCAGAGGGTGACGCACGCCATCTCAACAGGGACAGAGGTTTCTGCACTTGGGACTCTTCCAGACCTAACCCTATGCATCCGTTCATCTGTATCCTTTATTGTGCCCTTTCACAAACCAGCAAGCTAAGTGTTCTTCTGCGTTCTGTGAGCTGCTCCATCATATGAGTCAAGCGCAAGGAGGGCATCTCTGGCACGTCCACTCAGTAGCCAGCCAGTCAGAAGCACAGGTGGTGACAAGGGCTCACCACTGGCACCTGAAGTGGGTTGGGGCGCAGCCTTGTGGGACTGAGCCTTTAACCTGTAGGAGCTGACATTCTCCCAGATAGTGTCAGAATTGAGTTAAATTGTAGGATTGCCAGATGATGTCACAGAGAATTGCTTGTTGTGGGGGAAAAAATCTACATCAGTGACTGGAAGTGTCAGAGTGAAGGGTTCTGTGTAAAAATAAAGGAGACACAGAGGAAGGAAACACAATAGGGAAGACTGGGTCTTTCCTTACATAGGAAGGGAAAAACACTTTCTCCATTCTATCCATGGTGTTGTATCAGTATTTTGTTCCTTTTATTGGTGAGTAGTGGTCAGTTGTATGTCTGCGTCACAATTTATTCACCCATTCATCAGTTGATGGAGCTTTGGGTTATTTTCTCTTTAAGGCTATTGTAAACACAGCTGCCATCATTTGTGTACATATGTTTCCATTTTTCTTAGGTAAATACCTAGCAGAGTAATTCCTGGATCATATGGTAAGCACATATTTAACTTTATAAGGAACTGCCACAAGTGTTCTCTTAAGTAGCTATACCAGCAGGGTACGAGAGTCCCAGTTCCTTGACAAACCATGGTATTGTCTGTCTTTTAAATATTAGCCATTTTAATAGGTGCATAATGAGGGTATTTCATTGTGCTTTTAGTTGCATTTTCCTGATGACTAATGTTAGACATCTTTCCATTTTCAATTCCTATATCTTCTTTGATTAATACAATTTTTCTCGCACATCTAAAAAACTGAGTTGTAAGAGTCTTTATTTATTCTAGGTGAAAAGTCCTTTATTAAATGTCTTGCAAATATTTTGTCCTGCTCTGTAGCCTGCCTTGCAGTTTTCCAAAGTGCCTTGAAGAGCAAAAGGTCTTGTATGGTTTCTTTTATAGTTCAAATTGTTGCTATTTAAGAAATCTTTGCCTAACACAAAGTTGCTAAGATTTTCTACTATGTTTTCTTCTGGAAGTTTTATAGTTTGGGTTCTTACATTTCTGTCTGCATTCCATTTGAGGCTTATTTTTTTGTTTGGTACAAGGAGTGAAGTAAGGGTCACAGTTAATATTTTGTATGTGGGTATCCAGTTGTCCTAGCACCATTTGTTGAAAAAATCATCTTTCTCCTCTATTGAATTGTCCTAGAAATTTTGTAGAAAATCAGTTGGCCATAGAGGCCTGGGTATATTTCTGGAATCAATATTGTATTCCATTGATTTACTGATCTTCCATCACACCAATACCACACTTGTACTGTGGCTTTATAATAAACTTTGAAATCAGATACTATTAGTCCTCCAACTTTGTTCTATTTCAAAAAATTGTTTTGCCTCTCTTGATACTCTGTATTTCCATTTAAATTTTAGAATCCTACGGTCAATTTCTATAGGAAAGCCTTCCAGGATTTTGATTGGGATGGGACTGAATAGATAACTTGGAGAGAATGACCACCTTAACAACATAAGGTCTTCTAATCCATAAGCATATTATAGCTCTCCATTTATTCAGGGTTTCCTTAATTTCTCTTAGCAATATTTTACAGCTTCCCACAGAATGTTTCAGCCAGGACCTCCTGGCTTCTACATCCGATGGCTTCTTGCAGTAACAATCCTTCTACACTCTTTGGCACCCAACACACCCCATCTCTGTTTTCCTTCTGTCCCTTGCATTGTCCCACCCTGTTCTCCCACAGGCACGTAGCCTGTGTCACGTGACCAAGAGGAACCACTGAAGCCTAAAATCAATGGTACTTGCAGCTCCATGGGCGGCTGTGTTGGAGAAGACCTGTTCTGGGAGGAAACTTCCTCTTTGGATGGCTTAGGAAAAGTCTGCATTCCCTCCAATTGTGGGATGATGATAATTTTTAAATGTCTTAAATAAGATACCATTCTTGGAGTGGGTGAGGCTAGAGATTAAGGGAGAACTCTCATGTTGGAAAACTTATCAGCTTAACCGATTTTCCTACTCACCATCTCAGCCTATTGAGGCTTCCACGACTTTGAATCACTCTTTTTGCCCATTAAAAAAACAAAGCACAAACACAAGTTCATGTAGCATAAAATCAACCATTTTAAAATGACACGTTCAGTGGAGTGAATCCATTCACAATGTACAACAGCCACTTCTACCTAGTTCCAAAACATTTCCAGCACCCCGAAGAGATCACCTTTCCTGTGAAGTGGTCTCTCCCCACCCCCCAACACCAATCCCTGGCAAACACCAATCTGCGTGATGTCTCTGGGGATTTATCTATCCTGGATATCTTGTATGAGTGGAATCATACAGGGCCAGGGAGCTTTAGGGGCTGGCTTCGTTCGCTTAGCACAATGCCTTGGAGGTTCTCCAGTCACTCGTACAACTGTTGCGTTCTGTTAAACCTTTCTCCATCACCTAACAGGAATCCCTGGTTACCCAACCTGTCTGACGAAACTTTAGTAAATAAGCGACGACTAACAGCAGCATGTGCACAGCAACAAAGTCTCCGTTGCGCACTTAGTGCTCCGAGTGGGCCTTCGGGGCACAGTCACACTGAACACGGCGCATTTCGGGAGGGAAAAACTACGGATATCCCGAACTGACGTCCTCATTGGCGGGATGCTACCGTGGGATGCCGAGAAGCCGAGAAAGACGGGAAGAACCGCCCGCAGTTGGGAGCCAGCTCAGAGGCCTCCGACGGATCAGCAGAGGAAGAACGCGCATCCTCCCGGTCCCCGCGTTTACAAGTGCGGCCTCCCTGCAGGGGTCAGGCCCGCGGACCGGGCAGGACCCCGCCGAACACCAGACAGGCCCACCCCGCCCAGTCCCGGGCTGCTCCCCTCGGCCCCCCGGAACCGCCCCCACCCGCCGACCCCCTGCCCCGCAGGCTGTGACCGCCCCGCACTGTTGAGGTTTGAACACCGCGGGCCCGGCGCCGAGCAGCCTATCAGAACCCGCCGGCTCCGGGCGCGCCTGGCAACCGCGCGCCAGGCCCCGCCCCCAGCGCCCATTGGCCCATTCAATTCACGCCGGGTACCAATGGGCGACGGCGGCGGCGCGGCCTAAAGCTGGCTGGAGCGGCCGGAGGCAGTGGAGGCGCTGCGACCTGAGGTGTCCCGCGAGCCGCCATGAGCGCCCCGGCCGTGCCCCCGGGCCTGCAGCTGCCCCCGACGCGGAGGACCCAGTCCGCCTTCAGAGGTGAGCGCCACGGTGGCGGGAGCGGCGCCGGCCGGCGGGCGGGCGGCGGCGGGGCGGGGGCGGCCGAGGGTTGCGGGGCGCCCGGCGGGGGCCGCCCTGACCGGGGCTCGGAGGGGCCTGCCCGGCCGTTCGTGGCGGTTGTGAGGCCCCGGGGCGTGGCGCCTCGCACCCGGGGCCGGCGAAGGTCTGCGGGGCGGCGCCCGGTGCTGCTTCCCTGGACACGTTCGCCTCCAGCTTCCTGGGAGTTGGGGTGGCGGGGTATTGAGAGGGGACGCCGGTTCTCTGTCCTGCCCTCGGGGAACCGGAGGAAGAGCCCGCGCAGCCCGGTCCTGAGTTCGGACCTGGAGCCTAGTGCCCCACCTCTTTCATTTCTGAAAGCGTGGGAAAATGACGTTCCCCAATGTTTTACTTTCAGGCCGTGGAGAATGTGATTCTTGTGCAGCGGGGTTGTGGGAGACCTTAGGGTAACAGTCTCCTAAAAATGGGATTATTTCTCAAAGGCAGTGCTGATAGAAATACCCTATGACCCACTTCTGGGAATTTACCCAAAGAAAACAAAAGTGCTAATTCGAAAAGACACATGCACCCCTATGTTCATTGCAGCATTATTTGCTATAGAGCCAAGATATGGAAGCAGCCCAAGTGCCCGTTGATAGATGACTGGATAAGGATGTGCTACATGTACACAATGGAACATTATTCACCCATAGAAAGAAGGAAATCTTGGATGGACTCTAGTATCATGCTAATTAAATAAACCAGGCAGAGGAAGACAGATTCCGTGTGATTTCACTTATATGTGGAATCTAAAAAAAAAAAACAAAACCCGAAAAACAAAAAATAGACCTAGAAATACAGACAAAGACTATTTGTTACCATAGGGAGGGGGTTCAGGGGAGCGATGGGTGAAATAGATGGAGGGGATAAAGAGTTACAATTGTAAATAGAAAATAAGTTGTAGGAGTGGAGAAACAACATACAGAATATAACCAATAGTATTAGAGTATCCAGGTGTGGTAATGGGGTAACTATACTTAACTGTGGCAAGCATCTAGTAATGTATCAACTCAGCATGTTGTACATCTGAAATCAATATAAAACTGTATATCAACTCATTCCAATTAAAAAAAAGGCAATACTAAGTTGGGAAATTGTTACGTACAAGATTTTTCAAAGTAAAATCTTCATTTAATAAATGCAGTAATTATTTGATGTTACTGAAACTAATGTTGACTTGTAACTTTTTTTATTTAGAGCAAAGAAGCCAAAAACTCAAAGAACATCTGTTAAAAAGAAAAACATTTTTTTTGTACAAACAGGAAACTCAGGCATTTTCCAGGTGAGATCAACTTTTTTCACTTTAGGTCTATAAAATTTTGTTACAGCTGTGCAAGAAAATAATGTGAACCATGCGTATAATTTAAGATTTTCTACTAGCTACATTTAAAAAGTTTTTTAAAAGATGAGATGAATTTTAATAACCTTTTTTTTACCCTAATATATTCCCTGTTACCATTTCAACATGTAATACTAAAAAATTATCTTTGAGATATTTTGCATTTTTTTTTTGGCATATAGTTTTCAAATCTGGTGTGTGTATCTCCATTTGGATGAGCCACATTTCTAGTTCTCAACACTCACATTTGGCTGGTGGCTATCTTACTGGATGGTGCAGCATTAGATCATCATTTCCAGTATAGATTAATTCACGCTCTGAGAGGAAACAATCATTTTAAAGCAAAGTGTGTGTATATATACCAGAATATTGATTTATGGTTTATACACTACCACCAAGATCAGACTTTCTGTAAATGGGCAAGCTTTCTTATGGGGTGGGGGTTGGGGAGTTGCCCTCCCAGTGGTTTGGAGATCATTTGTTTTAGTCTCAGCCCTCCACAGTCATATCTCCACATTATTTTGTTAAAATTTAAAAAGTAGTATGTGGTGTGGCTAAAACAAAAACCCATGGAAGTCTAAAGCAGAAAATGAAAAGGTCCCCTCGTCTCTAGAGGTGATGGCTGGTAATGCCCTCCAGGCTGCTTCTGTGCAGTCTTAAGAGCCCGGGCTTTAGAGCCATTAGGACCTGGGCTGGAATCTGTGAGTCTGCTACTACAGCCCTGTAACCTCAGGGTTACGTGGCCTCTTTGAGTTTGTGTACTTGTATTAAAACGGGACAGTGATACGTGTTTCCTGGGATTAGGTGAAAAGGTGAAAGCATCGTGCCGTGTCTGGTGTACACCGAGAGCCCGAGAAGCTTTGTATACACAGCGGGTTGGTTCTTGGAACACTTCACTCTCCTGGTTGCCCTAATTTTCTCCCAGTATAATTGAGATCCTTGTGGGTTTTAAAAAGTCTAATTTTAATTTGCATTTCTGTATGCTAGCTACTTTGCTTACTGATAGATTATGTCTTTAGGAATGCTTCATATCCTTCCGCATGATGGAAAGTGGTCAGATTCTGCTTATATTTAGGAGAGAGAGCTGACAGGACTCAGTGATGGATTAGATACAGGATATAAAAGAAAGGAGTTGGGATGATCCTGAATGGTCTCGATTAAAGGAGGCTAAAGAGATATGACAACTGAATTCAACACATGACCCTTTCATGGTACCCGGTACCACCCGGTAGTGGAAGGGGAATGCCATGAAGGAAATTACTATGTATGTAATTTATCTATGTAAGTAAGCATTTACATACATGTATGTATGTAGATGCTATAAAAGTTTCCAACTAGAATATGAACAGTGTATTAAAGTGGTATATCAAGGAAAATTTATTATTTTGATTACTGTAGTTCTGTAAGACAAAAATTCCTATTTTTAGCAAATAAAGATAGAAGCGTTTAGGGGTAAAGGCCCATCACGTATATAAATTAACTTCAGGTAAAAAATTATTTATATTCCACACATACCACATGTTCAAAAAAAGTGCAAATGATAATGCAAATGGGATAAACTGTCAACAATAGGCAAACCTGGGTTAAAAAGTATGTGGCTATCCTTTGAGCCATTCAGAATTTTGCAACTTCACCAAAGTTCGGCATTTCTAGATTAAAATGTTTGAAAATTTTTAACTTTAATAAGTTGCTTTACTTTAGAATAAACATTTTCTTTCACAGATCCCACATTTCTTAAGACAAACTGGTGATCCTAGACTTTTTATTTGAATAACTGAGTGGATAATGATGCCACATATTGAGATGAGGAAGGGTGAGGGCGGAGGTGGGGGAGTCGCTTCTGCTCTGACCATGCTGAGTCCCAGGTACCAGTGACGTCACACGAAGATGCCAAGCCGTTGTGCGTTTGATGTTCAGGGGTGAGACTGGGCCTGGGAATAATAAATTTGGGCCTTGTCAGTGTGAGGATATTTATTTAAAACCTTGGGGTAGAATTAGATTACTGGAGAGTAAGCAGAGAGAGTGTTAATTCAAGTAAGATGGTGATTCTGAACTATTATTTAAATTAAGGAATCTAACTGGGTCCTGGGGTTTATGATATTCTTACACACAAATGGGAAGAAAAGAAAATTCTAAAAACTCTTTTTCTGGCTTTACCAGGAAATTTCAAGTACTGTATTTACTCCTTTCAGAAAACAGGTGTCAATTTAAATATTATTATTTGAGTAACAAATTATTAAATAGACAACCAGTTAGAGTTGTAGTTTTTCAAAATTAAATAGCTCTGTCTTACTATTTGTAAGGTGGATATTTTAAGACTCCTTTGTGCAGATAACTCTCTGAGATCAGTTTTAACATAACAAAACAAAATAGAATTATATATTTTCATGTAAGTCTCCACACTGAATAGTGAATAAAGTGGATTCTCCTTATTACTTTGAGATATTTTAGCTAGCAGTTAGAAAGGCCAGCGATTTCAAGACCAAGTACTAGAATTCTGTTGGCACTGAGAGAAAAGGAGGAGTCCGTGAGAAGTATAAAACTAAAATCCAAAGGCAGAAGAAAAGCTTGAAATCTGAATGTGGCTTTGAGCCCTAGTAACATTAAGGAGAAGAGAGAGACTTAGAAGAAGTGGACCACTGAGGCAGAAGGAAAAGTAGAAGATCTGATGATATTTAAAGAAAAGGTGACTACCTGTGTGAAGTGCTGTTGAAATGTTCAGTAAGATGAAGGCAGAGCTGTGGGAACACAGAGGTGGGTGACATTCGGAGGGTCAGAAGTGGGGTGGGGACATGGCATAGGCGGTGATAGGCATGGGCCAGACGGAATGTGACCTCATGGGGACTGTGTATATAGAATGCCTACTTTTGAGGAGTTTGTTGCAAAGAAAAGAGAAATGAGGGAGTAGCTGAAAAGAAATGTGAGGTTTAAGGTTTTTTAAAGTGAGAAGTAATATACAGGGTTTATATGCTGATGGGGATGACCTGGTAGAGGGACACGGGAATGATGCGGAAGCGTGAGCAGCTGAGTCAGGAGCAGAAAGCCTGAGCGGGGAAAAAGGAGGGGCACCGATGCAGCGGCTGCCCAGACACCCGCGGGCCGCCCACTCGCCCTGTCGGCAGGGAGGAGGCAGAAGCTAGGGTGCAGAGCCTGGTGGGCTGGCGGTCTCGGTAGGGGAGAGACGGGCTAATTCTTCTTCAGATTGTTTCTCATTTTCTCGGTGAGATAACATTACAGTATAGTGCAGGCCCAAAAGCAATAGGGGCTGAGATCGACGGGGGCCTGCTTAGTTAAGGTACCACCTTGGTTGCAATCTGGGAGACCGACCCTGAGCACCATCTCTTCCACCCCACAGTGGATAGTGGGCCAGGGCGCAGCTAGTGGGCTATTTGCCATCAGGTGGTGAGGGCAGAAGCTTCAGCTGGGGGCACCACAATGCCCAGGGGAGTGCCTGAGAGGAACAGGAAGCGCCTGAGCTCAGGAGGGCACTACCAAGATACCCTGCTGGGGGGCACATCTGGCCTTTCTCTGCATCGTTCAGAGCATGTAGTACAAGCCATGCCAACGCTCTGCCCCCATCCAAGCTGGCGGAGCAAACACATGTGCAAGGCAGTGTAACCAAGTGATCAACTGCAGAGATTTCAGATGTTTGTTGACTCTGAAATGTGCTTTGTTTTCATGTTTTAACATTTCTGGCCTCGGAATCTGTCTTGGAATCAATCATATATCTAATTGACCCTGTTTTTCCCCCTTCATGGAATGCAAAACTGTAATTACTTGCTAAGACATACTCCAGTTCATGCTAACTAGGGTGTATCTGTAAAAGAAGTTTAGGTGAAATCCTTGAGGCAGCATTTGCTTTTATATATTCTAAATGCAATGCCATCTGGAAACTGAAGTTTATATTCTTAATAAATTGTGAGTATGTGTATGGAAAATTTTGTATTTTGAGAGGACTGTTTAAAATTTTTTTTCAATGTAAATCTGTTACTAAGTACTTAAAACTTAACCAAAGAACGTGTTGTTTAGTAAAGGTGCTTGAAGACTTGTTTGAACGACTTGAGAAGAATGGTTTGGAATGAGATTGCCAGTGTTAGAAATATTAACACTGTCCCCCCATAGAATATTTAAAGAAAATATCTTTAAATTCTTCAGCCATCTTGCTTACACTATTAGTCACCCTATAACAAAGCAAATTCTTACTTTGGACAAATAAATTTCAGCTCAGTCCTTGCTTCGATTTAAAATTCCCACATCAGGTAATTGTTAATATTGTCCCATTGCTCCCCCCAAAAGGTGCGCCTCTGTGTTCCAAGGTTAAGTTTTTGTGTGTGTTTGTTTCAGCAGTAATGGCCAGAGCGTGATAACATCTGAGGGTTCAGTCCATGCAGAGACAAAAATTCTGAAAACTAAAACAAACATGGTAAGATGTGGGCATAACCTTCACAAACTCTCTTTTCCCTCTTTCTCTTTCCTAAACTCCTTATGAAAGAAATGAGTTTTGAAATACTGATTTGTCCTAAATAATTTTTTCAGGTTGATAAAGAAAATGTTAGTAGACCTACAGGGAGCAGAAATAATATAACAGTGGAAAAAAATTGTGTCCCTTTAAAACCCTCTAATGAATTGGCCAGTTCAACTACAGCAAATGATACCCATGATTCTGAGGATAGCAGTCACACTCTACAGTTGTTACCAGTTAAAGATGACCCCCAACGTCAACACTTGACATTAAGCCAAGCATATCACCTTAAAAACAATAATAAAAAGAAACAAGTGGTGACAGAAAAACCAAAGCAAGATACTGATGTGCCCAAGAAGCCTATGCTGGGGTCTTATCGTGGCCAAATTGTTCAGTCTAAGGTTAATTCATTCAGAAAACCTCTACAAGTCAAAGACGAGAGCTCGGCAGCAGCAGAGAAACATGCACTTGCTGTCTCCAAAGCCACCATGCCTCAGCCTGGGAACACCAACAGGGTCGTGGGGAGAAACGACAGCGCCTCAGACGTGACAGCTGCCCCCAGATGTGTGAGCACTGCACCTCACGACAGACAGCTCACGCGACCCCCTATCAGAAGTCACCACAACGCCCAGGGAGCTGTGAATCCCGGCCCCAAGAGAACCTCTGCCAGTGTGCCAGTTCAGAAAGGGCCTTGTGGAAAAGAGTGGCTGCAGTTAAATGCAGTTTCATCTGGTGTCAAAACCAGTTCTACTAAGGACGTAAAGAGAAATAAGACACTGTCAAGAAGTACAACTTCGGAAATTGTAGCCAGGCCTGCTTCGTCTTCTAATACCAAACTGACAGAAAAGTCAAAATCCACTGACCAGCACAGACACACTACCACAAAAGTGACCTTCAGTGCGGGACCAGCTAGGTCCAGAGAGACAGCAGAAGAGAGAAAGTAAGTAGGTTAATTTTATTAGCATAACTTTCGATACAGCACCATTTGTAAATTTGGCTTCTAATTTCCTTGAATGGGTTAGAATTTTTGTGTGTGGATTCTCTTCTGTTATCTGCTGACAAATTTAAGTTCATATTGTTGGAACAATTCCTGAGTTCCTAATTTACCTAAGTCGTGACCTACGTTACTGTTCTTGAGTGTGTTTATTAGGTTGTTTTATGTAATCTAAGTTCAGGTGCTTAATAAAATTGAAAAATATAACCTCTGCATTTCAGAATGCCTGCTTCAGGTCTTTGAGCATATAATTAAATTAATATGTTCAGTATTTTTCCTCAAACTTGTGAATTGTGTATGAACTATCATGGAGCTACTAGTTTTTGCCTTTCCCTCTGTCTGAGAGAACTCTGTCGCCAGTATCACAGTAATGGTCATGTCTTTCTGCCCACCGTAGAGCTCGTCTGAGTGAGTGGAGGGCTGGCAAAGGAAGGGCGCGGGCAAGGCCTCCTGCCTCGGGAGTCACCCAGCCTGAGCCCGGAGGGCAGGAGGGAAAGCCGGCCGGGTCCTTCTGGACTACCATGGCGGAGGAAGACGAGCAAAGACTATTCACTGAGAAAGTAAACAGGACGTTCGCTGAATGCATAAACCTCATTAATGAGGTAAAGCCTTACATTTGTGTAGTAGTTTATAGTTTGCAAATTACCTTCGTAAATATTGTCTCGAATTACGTGGTCAATCGTTTTTGACCGAGCAATGTGGTAGTGGTGTTACACCGACTCACGCTTATTGTGAGCTTCTCTTTAGCCTTTATTGGACTGCATTTTCACTGAGTTCACATAAATATATCAAAGGGATAATCAGAGTTTTTTTACTTGAGTTATAAATAGCATATTTCTCTGAGATGCCATAGAGTGAGCTGGGGTGGATTTTCATTATGATACTTCTGTTATGTTCATTCAACGTATTCACACATTATTTTTTCCACTAATATTTACCAAAGAATAGCAACATAAATTGAGTCATTATCATCACAGATCAAATTTAAGTTAATAAAATGTTTGCAAAGAAAATCCCACTAATCTAAAACAGCACCCTCGTGGCCTTGACCTTGCCGTAGAATCATCCTGTTGGGCCCACGTCCCCCAGGGCAGAGGACCCACTGCAGCGCGCCTCCTTTAGCCCTGCCTGCTCTCTAATCTTGCTTTGGTCACCGCTAGTGTCTAATAAGCTCCATAGCGGGACCGAATACACAGAGGATGACTTCAAACCTTACTCTCGCTTCATGAGCCACTTTAAACTTTCTGTGGCTCTGAGCACTGGTGAAAATTAGTCAGGGAAAGTGATCCTATTCTTATTTCTGCTCAGCTGAGATTTTTTGCTGATACTATCGGATTTTTCTGCCCTGTTATTTAACCATATACAACTCCTACTTACATAAATCATTACTGATTCATTTTAACCTTAATATCAAAACCTGACAAAGACAATAAAAAAAAAATCCTGCAAGCTATTCTCATTCATAAGCATTTGTTAGATGCAGCAATTCTCAAGTATTAAATGGAATCCCACAATATATAAATGATAAGCTTCAAGGTCAAGTAGTGTCGGTCATTTTTAATAATATTTTTCTCAACTAGTATTTCCTTTTTTTTCTGTCTCACACTGGTGACTGATAGGCTTAAACACTGATAATGTTGGGAGTACGGAGAGTAGTGGATATTTTTATGAATGGTTTCCTATTTTCTCTGTCACTTATCTTGCTTATAGTAAGCTTACTTGATTATTGGTAGTTTGTAGGCTAAATGATATCACTCACTTTCTTTGTTGGGGTTTTAGGGATGCTCAAAAGAGGAAATACTGGTCACACTGAATGACCTGATTAAAAATATTCCAGATGCCAAAAAGCTTGTGAAATATTGGATATGCCTTGCGCGGATTGAACCCCTCACAAGTCCTATTGAAAATATTATCGCAATCTATGAGAGTGCCATTCTGGCAGGAGCTCAGGTAAGACGAAAACTTCCTGGTCTTTGTTATTATAATGGAATTATTCAGAATCATTCTGAAACACATCCTGACATAACCTGGTAGGATTGTGGCCCCGTGTGTGGCTGTCACGAGTGTTTAAAGGCCGGCCACGAGGACTCATGTTCACAAATCTCAGCCTTATAAAACCTGCTCGTGTTCTGGGGGTGACCAGACCTTGGAAAACGGATGAGCTGAATCATCCTCAGTGAAACTGGCTGTGAGAAACAGGTCAGCACAACGTGGCATTCTCCCATTTCCTCAATGAGAAATCTGGGAAACCGAGTTTTTCATATTAAATTGTATTTATTGAATATAAAGCAAGTGGAATTAAATTAATTTTTAAATGCTAGCAGCTCTGATGGCTTTGTGAGCGAGCTCTCACCTCAGGAGTGCACCTTGATACACTCACGTTCGCATGGCGTGTTTGGTCCTGCCTGGTACAGAAAACGGCAGTGAGCTAGTTTCTCTGACATCATTGCCGTTGTAGTGGTTGGATGACATTACCTCTCACCTCTTCCTAGTCTTGTTCCCAAAGGCCTTGGGTGTAGAGTAAATTGTGTCTTGAGGTTTTTTGGTCTGATTGGGTTTTTGTTTTTATGGGCAGATGTTCCTAAGATGTATTTCCTTTTGACCAGGTTTCTCAAAAATGCATTTTTGGAGATTGTTCACAAAGAAAGTTTTAAAAAATCCCTTTTTGACTTTCCTTAAGAAAGCTATGTTCACTTTAGTCTCAGCAAAGCCAACAAATGATCTTGGACCTTTCACCTGAGTCAGAAATCAAACATTCAGCAGGTAGTTTCCAGCGGCTACTGTGTGTAAAACACTTTGCTGAAGGGTGACTGTATCTGATGGAATCCCACCTGGACGGGGCGTTATCTCCCCACCTCGTTGCCGCGGAAGGGCTACGGCATTACAGCGAGCACACAAAACCGGAGCCAAGGGTTCACAAAGAAGGAACAATGAAAGAGAAAGATGTGACATCACAGCAGGAGTTGGAAGGCAAGAATCAAAATTAGCCCAGAACGTTGAAAGCAGGATGAGTGAGCAGTTCAGGAGTAAGTTTAGAGGACTAAGACTATGAGCCAGAGCCTCCCCGTTCATAGGATCTTAAATGCTGCATTAGCAGGCCTGGTAGTTTAAACAAATACAGTGAGTATTCACAATACCCGACACATAATGTAGTAGTTACCTAGTGAACTGCTGAATTTGAATGAAGTATGTTAGACTGATCAAACAGCATATGAAACAAAAATATAACCATGAGTTTGGATCTAAGAGAAACGGAGTAAATGTAATACAAATTTTAAGTTAATATAATCAGTTCTTTAATAGATAGTATAATATTAATTTGCTGATTGTTCATTAATTGTGTTCATATCAGGCAAGCAGTAATATTTACCAAAGTCTTAAGAAAAATGATGGGGGGGAAAAATCTTGAACTGAAGAAATTCTGATCCTTAAGTTAATTCTTAGTCTATAAATTGGAAAAGACAGCCTTTTTCTCATTTTGAGTGGTGAAATGAGCGCTCTGAGGAACATGGTCTGAGAACCACTGCCTTTATTTTAAAATATGAAATTTAATCACTGGCTTTAATATTTTCAACTTGGATGACCTGGTTAATGTCTGAGAATATAAAACTCACTTGGGTCTGCTTTCTTTGTTAAAAAAAATCAAGCCTATTGAAGAAATGCGACATGTGATTGTAGATATTCTAACAATGAAAAGTCAAGAAAAAATTAAATCTGGTAAGTTAGTTTCTTTGGTTTCCTTCATGTGAATTGTGATTTTGTGAAATTTCTTTGCTGAATTATTTCTCTTCTATCTTTTTCAATGTTGTGATTATGCAGGTTGTTTCTTTCCTCAAACTTCTGTGGACTTAACACTAAGATTCAGTGGACTTACTAATACAGTGAACTTCAAATTAGGTCTAGTTCAAAATCCGAATTTGTCATTAAGGGTCTGAAAGTTAGCTTGTTAGGCCTTTATTTCCTGTCTTAAACATGAGGCAGTTTGACTACATGATCTCTAAGAACTTTTACCTGTTAAGTCAGCTGTTCTGTGTGTGCTCTAAAGAAGGTCATTCAGAAACGAGGGATAGTGTGGAGCTGAGAAAAGAGATTTATTAGGTGTCCGGTATATAAAAACATAAACATTTTCTAGATTCAGATAGGTTGTGGCAATTACTGTGACCTTTTGTAAGAAATTTAAACCCTTATCTGTAAAATGGGACATTAATATTGATTGTTAGGACCATTGAATGAAATAATGTGTGTCAGAATCATGTCCTGTGACACTTATCTAGGTCAAGGGCTAAACTTCAAATAAAAGATCGTATTGAAATACTAAGTGAGCTAATGTAACTTTTGTTTACCTGTTACCCAAAAAAGCTATTTAGTGGAATTAATATGTGGTTCACAAAGAAGGAACAATGAAAGAGAAAGATGTGACATCACAGCAGGAGTTGGAAGGCAAGAATCAAAATTAGCCCAGAACGTTGAAAGCAGGATGAGTGAGCAGTTCAGGAGTAAGTTTAGAGGACTAAGACTATGAGCCAGAGCCTCCCCGTTCATAGGATCTTAAATGCTGCATTAGCAGGCCTGGTAGTTTAAACAAATACAGTGAGTATTCACAATACCCGACACATAATGTAGTAGTTACCTAGTGAACTGCTGAATTTGAATGAAGTATGTTAGACTGATCAAACAGCATATGAAACAAAAATATAACCATGAGTTTGGATCTAAGAGAAACGGAGTAAATGTAATACAAATTTTAAGTTAATATAATCAGTTCTTTAATAGATAGTATAATATTAATTTGCTGATTGTTCATTAATTGTGTTCATATCAGGCAAGCAGTAATATTTACCAAAGTCTTAAGAAAAATGATGGGGGGGAAAAATCTTGAACTGAAGAAATTCTGATCCTTAAGTTAATTCTTAGTCTATAAATTGGAAAAGACAGCCTTTTTCTCATTTTGAGTGGTGAAATGAGCGCTCTGAGGAACATGGTCTGAGAACCACTGCCTTTATTTTAAAATATGAAATTTAATCACTGGCTTTAATATTTTCAACTTGGATGACCTGGTTAATGTCTGAGAATATAAAACTCACTTGGGTCTGCTTTCTTTGTTAAAAAAAATCAAGCCTATTGAAGAAATGCGACATGTGATTGTAGATATTCTAACAATGAAAAGTCAAGAAAAAATTAAATCTGGTAAGTTAGTTTCTTTGGTTTCCTTCATGTGAATTGTGATTTTGTGAAATTTCTTTGCTGAATTATTTCTCTTCTATCTTTTTCAATGTTGTGATTATGCAGGTTGTTTCTTTCCTCAAACTTCTGTGGACTTAACACTAAGATTCAGTGGACTTACTAATACAGTGAACTTCAAATTAGGTCTAGTTCAAAATCCGAATTTGTCATTAAGGGTCTGAAAGTTAGCTTGTTAGGCCTTTATTTCCTGTCTTAAACATGAGGCAGTTTGACTACATGATCTCTAAGAACTTTTACCTGTTAAGTCAGCTGTTCTGTGTGTGCTCTAAAGAAGGTCATTCAGAAACGAGGGATAGTGTGGAGCTGAGAAAAGAGATTTATTAGGTGTCCGGTATATAAAAACATAAACATTTTCTAGATTCAGATAGGTTGTGGCAATTACTGTGACCTTTTGTAAGAAATTTAAACCCTTATATGTAAAATGGGACATTAATATTGATTGTTAGGACCATTGAATGAAATAATGTGTGTCAGAATCATGTCCTGTGACACTTATCTAGGTCAAGGGCTAAACTTCAAATAAAAGATCGTATTGAAATACTAAGTGAGCTAATGTAACTTTTGTTTACCTGTTACCCAAAAAAGCTATTTAGTGGAATTAATATGCTAATGGCTTATCTACATGCAAGGAGGTCGTGCTTCTATGCAGTATGTTTATTAGTTCAACACCAATTATTTCATTCTATGGCTGCTGTTAATGTGCCCCAGGAGAATGTACAGAAACTGCTTATGATTTGATCCTATGAGTTCCATCTAATGAAGGAGCTTGAGAAGGAAGGTTGGATGGGTTGGGTGCAAGGAAAGACTCGTGTACCCCACCAAGAGGAGGAGAGGTGTAGGAGCACCCCATCCCGGCAGAATGAGCGATGGGGGTCCACAGGCACAAGCGTCCGGTTGTAAACGACTAAGTCCTGGGGATGTGCAGCACAGCACGGTGACTATGGTTAACAATACTGTGTTGCATGTTTGAGAGCTGCTAAGGGTAAATCTGAAAAGTCCTCACAAGAAAAAATATTTTCTAGCTGTATATGGGAGCAGATATTAGCTAGACTGATTCGGGTATCATTTTGCGCTATATACAGTGTCAAGCCATGATGTTACACACCTGAAACTAATATACAATTATATTGTTGATTATATGTCAAAGAATTTTTTTAGATAGCCCAATCCTGTGTCTTACATGCTAAAGACAGCAAAGTGAAAAATAAGAATTCCATAAAAAGCCGCCTTCCTGATAATTCCCACTGGCTTGAGAGACATGTGGAAGAGAAAACCAGTATTTAAATGTGATTCAGTTATTCTCATTTTCCCTTAATAGAAAAATACGAGTTAGGGGAATCTTTTCCAGCCTGCAGAAATTTGTCTTTAAATGGAAAAAGAAATGCTGTTCATAAACTCTTGGCTTTCTACAATGTATAATTTCTAGATACAAAATCAGTTTTACAACCTAACATTGTTTGTAAACAGCAAGAAAATATCACTGGGAAAAAGAAGACAAATAATGAAAGCGAGGTAAGCAGGCACCGCCTGGGTGTCTCTCGCAACCTCGGCCCCACACCTCCAAACTGACGGCGAGCGTCGCTATCCCGTGAACCTCATCCTCCCTTTGGGTCCCTGTGTCAGCGACCAACACTGCCCACTTCTCCGAGCCATAAGTCCTGGGATTTTGTTTCATTCCATCTCTTCGCCACTCCCCGACCCCTGCTCACAGCCGATCAAATTCAGTCTGATTCCCTAAGCGTCTCTTAAAATCCATGTACTTCTGTCCTGACGCACTTGTCAGTTCTCCGGTCAGGAGCACCTGCAGCGCTCGTCGGGCCCGCGGCAGCCCCCTCGCCCACGTCCCTTCTCAGCCCTGCAGCCGGAAGGCCCCGTGGCCCCTCTGTGTGATCCCTGACTTCGGCCGCTCCCTGTCGCTCTTCCTCTCTCTCTATCCCGGAGGGGAATTCACTGCCTCTTGCCTCTGGGTCTCTCCAGGCCTGTCTTTCTACTTGTCAGCTAACGCCTGCTCACCCTTTAGACCTCGGCTCGCATGTTCTTCCTCGGGGCGGCCTTCCGGATCCGCACCCTTCCTCTCCCCCCAGCCAGGTTAAATGCAGGTCGAGTGCCTGTTTGTCTTGTATTTTCAGCTGTAAACTTGAGGGACAAGGACAGTGTCCATGTTCCTCGACATCGTACCCCCAGGGTTAGCACAACGCCTGGCATATATCAGGCACTTCCCGTATTTGTTGAGTTTGTGGATCCATATTCCTTCTCTCCCCACTTCAAATCTCCCCATCACGAAAACAGTCATATCCACTTAACCATATAACGGAAACATCTCTTAGTAAGAGTCTATAACGACCCAATGCGAGGTCTTTCCAGCTTGAACTCCTTGTCTTCCCTCACTGCTTCCCCACAGCACCATCTCTTACCCCCAAAAAAGAAAAGAAAAATCCTTCTCTGTCATTAAAGACTCGTAAGGAAGAAGTTTTAGAAGGGCTGCCTCCGACAGACGTGCGTACTCATTCTGACTTAGACACGTATTCATTTTTTATTAGTCCAACTCGAAATGACTCTTGAATTGCACTCTTCTCACTGCCTATCTCTACCACCTTTAGACTGTTACAGCGGCTTTGTGTTGTGACCAGCAGAAGTCATTTATTTTCATTCCCTGCCATCCTAAACTATTTATATAGTGACCAAATCTCTGTGTCTGTCTCTGCAGTGCATTTTTTAAAAAACTTTCTGCATGTGAAGTTCTTTACAGTCCAGCCCCTTCCTACCTCTCCGAACTCATCACCTCCTGTCCACATTCCCACTTTGCTCCTTACCCTATATTCTAGGCACACTGTCCCTCTAATGTTGTCTAAGTGGATTGTTTTCTCTTAAGCTTCATACCAAGATTGTCTTCCTTAGTCTCAAGTACTCATTTTTCAGACCCTGCCTAAGTGGTGGTTCCCTTTTTTGGGGTTCCCATAACCCTTTGTTCCTACCTCAACTATAGCATTTTTATTATTTCATGATTGTTTTCAAGTGTGTGTCTTCCACAGAATGTGAACTTAAAGGACAAGAATTATTTCATTCTTACATTCGTATCTATGGTCCCTGACACATGGGAGATAATAAATATTTGTTAAACTTGCCTGCAGCATTTGCTCAAGAAAAGTAATGGTTAGAAGATGGCAGTTTGGGTCTTTTATTTTGAAAGTCTGGCCAACTATGAATACCTTTAATGTCTTCTGATTTTGTTTTTTAAATTTGACCAAATCTTAGTCTATAAATATTTTTCTATAGGAGAAAATACAGAGGTTTGTGCAGCCAAGGAACAAATCCCAGAAGTTAAACCTGAAGATACAGGTATCAATGTAGAGTCAGAAAAACTGGACGTGGAAAATACACATCACAGAAATGTGGTATTTCAAGACTGTGAAAAAGAGCAAAATGACAGAACAAAAGATCCAAGCAATGATGTTAAAACTCCCAATACAGAAATCAGGGCAAGTTGCCTAATTAAGTATAACGTGTCTACTGCGCCATGCTTGCAAAGGTAAACTTTCAAAATGCAACGTGCTGAGATCTGTTTTTCTGCTTAGGAATAGTAAATATGGTATTTAGAATCTTTGAGATAGCTTCTGATTAGAGCCATCATTTGTTTAGAAAAGTTTCAAACAAATGTCATGTGGACATTTCACATTTGAAATATTTGCTTTTCCCTAAATACTGCCGTTGAAAAAGAAAACTTTTACATCATTTTACTCTAACCTCTGTTATCATTGATAACAGCAGGTTTTGGAACTGAGCAATGAACCAACTTTATAGATAGTTATCTACTGTGTGTAAGTCATAACAACAAACAGGAAAGGATTAGCTTGAGGTACCTCTCTGTAGATGAGCAGTCATATGGTTGTAATACAAGTTAATAGTATGATAAATATCATAAAAGCACAAAATAGAATTGTTAATGTGTTTTTAACTGAGAATAATTTTGTGGTTTTTGGGTTTTTTTTAGTATAAAAAAGAAAATACAGTCTGATGAAACAAATTCTACATTTAAAGAGCTGAAGTTTCTAACACCAGTTAGACGTTCTCAGCGTATTCAAGACAAGACGTCTCAATTGCCAGATATGTTGAAAGACCATTATCCTTGTGTGTCTTCACTGGAGCAGTTAACTGAGTTGGGAAGCAAAACCGACGCTTTTGTGTGCCGCCCTAACGCAGCACTGTGCAGGATGTACTCGGAGACTGAGACAACAGAGGACAAATAAGCTCTGATGGGGGTCAGCGCTTCTGTAATCCGGGGCATTTCTGTGCACTGGAAAGCTGATCCTCCCCTGTGAGCTCAACAGTTGGAGTTTTTCTCTAAGAAGATATATTTTGTCAACTAGTATACTATGTTTCTTGAATATAAACAAGTTTCATTGTAGTATTAGCTTAGCTTGTTCACTTTTACAGGCATAAAGAAAACTCACAAGTCATTACATGAAAGTGTAGTAATGCTGCATCATCAGGAAATGAGGTGGGCTAGATAGAATTGGTATTTTTGCATGGACATGTCTTTAAAATGTACGCATCCTTGCCTTTAAAGAGAATACTGACTTTTGCCTTTCCTTGATTCTGGATCAGGGTGAAAGTCAGCCTTACAATGTGGAGGGACTCTCTGCAAACGTTAAGATCAGCTTGTCTCCGCGCCCAGTCCTGGTTCCCCAGGCTGCTGCGGTCTGTCGGGGCCCTTGGACTGCCTGCGGGTCTTCCCGTCACTGCAGGAGAGTCTGTGCCCCAAGTCTCAGCCTCTTTATTTCTGATTGTAGCTGAGTCACCTGGTAGGATAATTAATTAAATAACACCATTTCTAAGAGAAGATACTTCGTAGTAAGAAAGAATAGGTGCCAAACTTAGTAGGTATTTGAAACTTTAAATCTGAATTCCTTTCATTAGCTCCCTTTGTAACTTGACTAACAAAATAGTAAAATTTTAACTTCCATCACTTTATCTGATGAAGTTTATAGACTGTTAGAATGGAATTAGAGAATATTCTATTTTGGTGGCATTTGTAGAATAACTAATAGTTAAGCTTGCTTTCTTGCTCTATAAAAACTTTACTGTTAAACCACGCCCCCTGCAACATGGGAGTGTACACAGTAAAAGTTCTCTTCTCCCCATACATAAATACCACCAATAAAATTGTTTCATAGTCTCTGAACTAATACCGAAGTGGGGTACGTCCCCTACCAACTCTAAGGTAGTCTCAGAGAAGTAACTGATCATTGTGAAAGATTAGTATTAAAACTGTGTAATGCTAAGTGTGGTTGAACAGTCACATAGTCTTATTTACGTTCATTCAGTCCATTTGTATCAAAGCACCTGTGTTCTGTTTATTGTCTTCTGTCATAGAGAGTAGGATTTTATTCTTTTTTAAACTGTGCACCTAATATGTATACAATAAATTAAAATATATGCATAGCAATATTTCCATGACACTTATTTCAGCAAATATGAAATACAGTTTAACCATGAGTAAATGTGAATCTTGCCTTTGAAACACATTATAGTGGGATTTGACTTGAGGTTTTCAACACTAAAAATAAGTGTCTGCTTAATGATATATTTCCTTTTGAAAAATTATCAATCTACTTACCTAAAAATCTAACTTAATTCTTCAGCTTGTTTTTTTCATATTTGTATGACTGGGACAAAAGATGCCATTTTGAATTAAACTTCAAGCTTTATAATCATCCATCCCATATGGTTCATTTGGCCATATAATACTGCTTAAAACAGTGAAAGAATTTGAGAACTCTTCTTTCTGGAGAAGTTTTGTAATGTTATTTTTCCTCCTCCCTTAACTGAGGAAAAGTCTATCACTCTGAATAGCCCTAGTTTTAACATTTACAGACATAGGTCTAACCCCTTTTCAGGTGCTTAAGAGCAGTTACGTGTCCGACCTAGGTTTGTTAGACAGTATCTCCAAGGATGGGCTGCATCGATGGTGCGTGAGCTTTGAAGTCCAATAGACCTACATCCAAAATCTCAGCTCCTACCTTCCCTTAAAAGTTATGCGACCCTGGAGAAGTTAGTTACTAAGGTGAACCTCATCTTTCTGAAGAGTAAGGTAGAGATTATCCTCTCTGATCATTTCTACCATGTTTACCTGCCTGTCCCCCGGTTGCTGGGCCAGAATGGGCCTGACCCAAGCTGGACCGTCAGACTGCTTTCCATAGGGATTTGGCCTCCAAACTGAGAATTCTGTGTCCTTGGACCTGAAATATGTAAATGTGAGGCACTGGGTGACCATATGAAAACTGAGGAGCAAAGGTCACAGTCAACAGAGAGGACAGTGATTACCCAGGGAAAAGCAGAGAGACTGCTACCTTGGGTTTTCTGTAGCCTATCAGTTTTATATCCCAATAATTCTCATGAAATCAAAATATGGATAAAGCAAAATTCCTCTAATCCAGTCCCATTACCCTTCTTAAATATAATGTATTAGTATGGTAACCTTCCAAATTCCTTACTGTATATTTAACAAAAATACACAAAAACACACATATCTATACTTTGTAGATTTTTTTGCTTCATTGGATAAAATGGTGCCATACTTCAATATGGTTCTGTAACTTGTTTCTAATTTACTAAGTCATAAGGAGCTTTTCATTGACAGATCAATGTAACATTAAGACTACATGGGAGCTTAGTAAATGATAAACTTTACATTTCAAAAAAGTAAAGGATGGCTGTGAGTCAGCCACCATTTTGAGAACAAATTTCCATTCAAAAACAAATTCCAGGTAGAATAAATAGTTAAACTGAAGTATATTAGAAGGAAATGTAAATAGATTTTTCCTTAGGAGACGGAGGGCTTTCTTAAGGTTTTTATGATAAGGTAACTTTTGTAAAGGAATGTTTAACACTGGAGGGGGCGGTAAGGCACTCAGGTGTGGAGCAGCAGAGCTGTGCCGCCTCGGTGGGTACAAGCAGGAGACATCCAGGAGCCAGACCAGCTGCCACACCGGAGATCTTCACAGTTCTGTGAGAAAATGGATTGTAAAGCTAGATTTGTATGCCCAAGATATCATTCAAGTTTGAGGGCAAAATGTTTTCAAGCTTGCCAAGGATTCAAATTAACTCTCATAAATTTAAAAGTATTAAAGTTTTATTCCAGTGAAAGAGAAACTGAATTTAAGACTAAAAGAATTGTCAGGTCAGCCAAATCAAAATAAAAAACAGGGAAGTCTGTGTAATTGTACATTATAATGTTAATTTTGTGAAATGAAAACACTCCTACGATTTCAGCAGGGGAGGCATCAAGGCTTAAGTGGGGAGTTACAGCTAATTCTCTTGCTGGTGAGCTTGGGTGTGGGAGCAAGATACAGAAATTTGTCACTCTCACTGTCTTTGTCTATGAAGTACTAGGGGTTTACATGTTAAAAATACAAAATGCAAAGGTAAGACCCAGCAATGCCATTCCTAAATATCCAGGAGAAGAGAAAACATGCCCCACAGATTGTACACAAAGATACTCATTATTGTCTTAGTAGTGTTAGTCAAAAACTGGAAACCCAAAGCTCCATCAGCTGGTGAATGGAAAAACATTGTATGCGATATTCATACATAAGCAAACTGCATAAGGAGATTAAGCAAAAGGAAACCAACTACTGATAAACAGAATACATAATTTCAAAAACATACTAAGTGAAAGAATCCAGACACAACAAATGACATACTATATGATTCCATTTATGTGAAATTCTAGAAAAGATAAAAACTATAGTGACAAAGCACATCAGTGGTCACCTGAGCCAGGGGCGATCTGACTGAAAGGACACGAGGGAAGTTTTTGGAGTAATGGAAATACTCTAATCATTCTTAAACACCTATGCATTTGCCAAGACTCACTGAAATCTGAAGAACACACTTAAAAATGGGTGAATTTTATTAATATGTAACAGATCTCTAAACAGTATATATCTTTAAAAACATAATGATACCCACTAAAAGTATAAAAATAGAGTAACTCCAACCACTGTAGGGAAGTGGGGGGTAGGATGGGGTTTTCAAAGCCGCCACCCGCAGAGCCGCCTGCAGGGCCCCACCAGTCCAGCTCCCGCTGCTCGTCTTCCCAGCACAAGTGCCAGATGCACGAGAGAGCGCCCGGGATCCCAGCCCAGGCTCCAGGCGGCCCCAGCCGGTGCTGAGCGGAGCAGATGTGACTCAGGCCTGACTCACTTGGCCATTTCATCAACGTTTCAGAAGCAGTGCAGTTTCTCACCTGGGTGAACCTGCCCAAATAAGAGTCCTTCATTTCTGCATACACGGCTTCTAGTGAAACTACGTTAAGACTAACTCACTTGATACATATGGAAGAATTTAGAAAATTATGACAATCCTTTATCTCTATCAAGCCCTAGAATTTAAACTATTGAAATAACTGAAACTGTTATCTCACTGGGAACTCAGGAAAATTAACTTCAAGATTCAAAGGTCACTGGGCATCGTATCAGTTTAACATTCTGAAATATTTATTGTCTGTACATGGCTCACCGGGACAGGAACCCGGCTCAGTTTGTACCTGCTCACTGCACACCACATAGGCCACGCTGAGAGGTGATGTCTGCAATTCCTACCCTGTGACTATCACCTAAAAACTATTCCTTTTCCACCTTATTTTGAGGCTCAGAGCATCCAGCTAGACTGGTGGTTCTCAACCAGGGGCAATTTTGTACGGCTCCCACCTTTCCCCACTGCCAGCACCCCGCACCCCACCCCGCACCTTGCAACTGCTCCCCACTGGGAGCCGGGGGGCGGGGGGCGGGCTGGCGGCAGGGCGCAGGCGCAGACCAGACCAGGGTAGTGGGGATTTGGCGGCGGGGCGCAGGCGCAGGCAAGACAGGAGGTGGGGGTGGGAGGTCTAGGGCTGGGGTGCGGGCTGG